TTTATAATAATTTATTTAATAATATAATAGGAAAATATATAAAGATAAAGCCTATGGGAGAGCCTAGTACTTTTCTAGGTAATGAAATTACTATAAATAAAGAACATAAGTTAATATTTATACACTAAACTAAGTATACTAATAAGATATTAGAAACATATAATAAAAAAGATATATATAAATATAATATACCTATAGATAATAATATTAAGTTATATAAAAATAAATAGTAAGCTAATAAAGAAGATATATTAAGATATTAGCAAGAAATAGGTGCTTTACTATTTTTAGCCTTAAAAACTAGGATAGATATTACACTTACTGTTATAACTTGCTCTAGATATATAAGTAATCCTTCTAAAGAGCATTTTATAGCCCTTAATAGAATATAGGGTTATTTAAATAAATATCCTAATTTAGGGATATATTATAACTATAATAATATAAATAACTTTAATATTATAGGATATTCTAATTCTAACTAGGCAGGAGATCTTAATAATAAAAGATCTACTACTAGTTATATATTTCCTTATAGATATTATAACTTAATAAGTTAGAATAGTATAAAACAAAAAACAGTAGCTTTAAGTACTTATAAAGCCAAATATATAGCTTTAATATAAGCTATAAAAGAAGCTATATATTTATATAACACTATAAATTTTATATATAAAGTAATAAATTATAAACCTCTAAATAAACTAAAAATATTGATAGATAATAAAGCAGCTTAAAAGCTAGTAGAAAATCCAGAATTTTATAAAAAAGTAAAACATATAAATATAAAATATCACTTTACTAGAGATATTATATCTAATAAAGATATATATTTATTTCATATAAATACAAAAGATAATATAGCAGATATATCAACAAAACCTTTAGGAAAGATTTTGTTTTATAATATTATAAATACTATAAATATAGTAGATAAATACACTATACTAAGTAATATAAAACAAGAAGAAAATATAAATAAAATAGAGAACTATATAAATAGTAATAATAATAAAGCTATATTATCTAAAGATATATAATAATAATAATAAGGGAGTATAAATAATAATATATATAAAAGCTATCTTAGTTTTATCCTATTATAAAGGTTTTCTAAGATAAGCTATTATACTAGTATATATTTAAGTATATATACTAAGATATAGCTATCTTATTTTTTTTCCTAAAAATAAAGGTTTTATAGAGATAAGCTATATATATAAATATATATATACCTTAAGGGGGGGTATTAGGTATTAAGCTTTAATACCTTATATAAAACCTATAAATAATAAAGTAGAATTAAATATAAGTATAATATATATTACAGTATTAATAATACTATATACACTATATACGCTCTATAACTATATAACTACTTTAAATTCTACTATATATTATAAAAAATAAGAATATTACTATATAAAGGATAATACTTCTAGGATTAGCACTATTCTCCTAAGGAGTTACTTTAAGAATAAAACACACTAAGTAAAACTATATAAGCAAGGTGTTTTATAATAATAACCTAACTAGATAATAACCTAATAAATAAACCTAGTTAATAACCTAGAATCTAGAAGAAATCTCTAGAAATCTAAGATAACCTTAGGAAAATAAGTATAAATAATCCCCTTTTCTCCCTCTATCTAGACAGTTAGTCTTAGTTCTATAAGTAAGAAATATAATATATTATATTATAATTATATCCTTTATCTCCTATCTCCTATCCTATCTTAGCTCTTATCTCTTATCTTTATATTACCCCTTATTACCTCTAAAAGTAATAAATATAATCTCTAAAATAAATTATTTAAGAAGACGCTAATTAGTTTTTTTTACTTTTTATAAGTAGATTTATTAAATAAGATAACTATTATTATAAAAAGAATATAAGATATAAAGAAGTATAGTAGATATTAACTAACTACTATAACTTATAGAAACACTTAATAGCTTAAATATAAATAGCCTAAAAAGGAATTATAGCTATAATAAGAATTATAATTAAAGGACTAAGTTAGTACTAAAAAGTTACTATTATTTTATACTACTAAGAGAGTATATTAGACCTTAATTAAGAGCTAAAAGTAACTATACCCCCTAAAAAGGTATATAATAATATTAAGTAAAAAAACTAATATCTTACTTTTCTTACTTTTCTTAGGAAAGTATTAACACTTTATAAGAATAATTATTAATTAAAGAGATAGTATAGTTTATTAGTATAATTTAATATAGTATAAAGATTACTTAAAAGGTTTTTTTATTAATTATATTAAAGCTTTTATAAAATTCTATACTAAGCTTAAAGCCTTATTATATATACTTAGCTTAATTTATTTTAGTACTTATATAATAAATATAGTTTAGTAAATAAGTAGTTAGAAATATAGCTTATATATTAGTAAATAGTTTTTATTAGTACTTTACTTAGGCTTAATATACCTTACTTTAACTAACTTTTAAGATAATAATTATCTTTAGAATATAAACTATAGTAAAAAAGTATAACGCTACTAAATAACTTAAATTAGCTTAAAGTTCTAGTTTATTAGAAATAACACCTATAATATAATATATTAAGTATCTAGTACACCTTTAGAAATATAGCTTAAGAAAAGGAAGTAATAAAAGCGTTAAGAATAAGGCTCTAATTAAAGAACTTAAAGTGTTATATTAAGCTTTATTAAAGTATTAACTTAAACTAAATACTAATATAAGAACTATACTCTAGAAGCTTAAAGTTTAACCTTAATATAAACTTTAATACTATTAACTTTAACCTAATAGACTATAAGTATAAAGTTAAATAAAAGACTAACCTTACTATAAGTAAAAGGCTTATTAAAATATAAAGTAAATTAGTATAGCTAAATAGAAATAAGGTAGGTCTTAATATACCTTAGACGCCTCTTTTTTATAATTAGAAAGTAAATAGTTTAAAGCTACTAGTAGTTTACTTAATTAGACTTACTATACCTTAATTAAAAATAATATATTAATTATCTAAACTATTATCTATAGAGAATAGCTTATTTTAATATAAAAGTCTAAAGAAAAAAGTTAGGGTTATAAAAAACACTTTATTTCTTAAACTACTACTAAAAGAAGTCTAAAAGGAGTAAAAAGAAGTAAAAAAGAATATAATAAAAATAAATAATTTAAATAAAAAGGATAAAAGACCTTATATATTTAGTATACTTAACGCTATACTAATTAGTAAAAAAGATATAGTAATATAAACTAGTAGCTAAGTAAGTATATACTTAACTATAAGTAGTAAAAGTAAGTTAATTAGTATAAAGACCTAGTAGTAAAGGCTATATTTATTATATAAGTATATATACTATAGTATTTACTATTAGGACTAAAATAGTAAGAGAGCTAAGCTTAATATAATATAAAAGTTAAGTAGGATTAAGCTAATAATATAAATAGAGATAAGGACTAAAATAGACTTTATTTAAAATTTAAGATATAATTTTCTTTTTTAAGATTATACTTAGAAAAATTATAAAAGATAATTAAAGTAAAAATAAGGATTTTATTTTCTTAGTAGTTATAAGAAAAGAAAAAAGTCTAATTAGTATTAAGAAGTATAAGAACCTTTTAATTAGCTATATTAAATAAAGAATAATTATACTTTCTCTTTTAATTTATTTTTCTTCTTAAAAGTCTTTATACTAGTGCCTAATTCTTTAATTAATCTAGCTAATATATAATAACTTAGGTAATAAGGAGCTATCTACCTTATCTAATTAAGTTATAGGATTCTAATTAGTATTAAAAGCCTAATTAGATCTTAGAATCTAAATATAATTAGGCTAGGTACCTAAGTTACTTTTTGTTATAAGGTATTAGTATATTTATTTATATATTACTATTATAACTAAAGTCCTTAATTACACTACTATACGCTTTTACTACTTAAACTGTTATTAGTAATATAAGCTTAAGTAGTAAAAGTAATAAGTAACCTTACTTAATAAAAAGGCTTAGTAGCTTTATAAGCTTATAAAAAAAAAGCACTCGGCTAAGGCTATTAACCTAGGTATTAATAATAATAAGTATATAGTAAAGTTAGAATATAAATAAATAACCTTAAGATATAAGGCTATAATATAAAGAAAATAAAAAAAATAGTAGCTATTACTTTCTTAATTAGCTCTTATAGTATTTACTAAAAGAAAATAAGGTCTTTTTAAAAGAAGGTACTTATTATAAAATAAAGTAGTAAGTACTTATAGCTAGAAGATAAATAGATAGTAAGGACTAAATACCTAATATATATATAATATATTATATATACCTTAGGTATATATTTTTTTAGTAAGTAACTTTTTATAAAAAAAAAGTTAACTATAAATATACCTTTTATTTATTACCTATTTTATTTTATATTATTTATTTAGCTTTTTATTATTACTTATCTTACTTTACTACCTTACTATTATACTTTACCTTTATACTATATTACTTTATGTTACTATTATAGCCTAGCTTTATCCTATTAGAACTATAACAGCTACTAAGAAGGCTATATTAATATAGGTATAATATATATATAACTATAATAAAATCTAATAGAAATTAAAAATCCTCTTATTTCTTTATTAGGAAAGTCTAGGCTAATCTTAGCTATATTATTAATAAGATTACTTTAAAAATAAGGTGATTTTACTGCCTATTTCTTAGTAATTTGCTATAGGGCAACCCTGTATTTGACGGTGAATTCATGTGTATTTTTGCCACATATGACAGCTGCTAATTACGCGCTTTAGCAATCGCACGTGACGGCCACCACTGCCATTGACGTCATAGGCATGAATTACTGCGACAGGGAAGCTCTCGGCCGGCAAGAATGCCAATTCCTTCTTCCTTCCGTGCAGTCTTGTTAATGTTCATGACAGTTGGTTTGAAATGATGTAAATATCTGTCTCTATTGACTAAAACTTTAACCAAAAACCACGACTCAGTTGCAGCAACCCTACCCCGAGATGAGCTACGCGTTCCGTCGCGTATGCCTGCAACTGCCTGCCAGCTTCAGCCCCAAGTATGGTCCTATGCGTCAAGCTTTCCGCCCAGCCGGACTCGGCACCGGCACCAAGGCTTCGGTAACAGGACGCGCGTTCCGTCTCTCTGCAATATGGCGGGACGATGCCGATGATGCCAAGGCCAAGAAGACGAGCCAACGTGACATGGACAAGGAGGAGGACAAGGAAAAGTTCGAGCGGGATGAGCTGATTGCCCTGAGGAAACAAGAGGAGAGGCCATGGCACCGAGCCGGTCATGAGGTCGACCAGCGTGAATCGTCCAAAGATCCTACCAACGGTGACAAGACACGAGGTAGGACACCCTGCTGCACCGTCGAAATCCAAAGCGCATCCGGGTGGTTTTTATATTTACTTTTCTACAGGACGCCTCCTTACGACACCAACGAGATTATTGAAGCTCATCCTGCCACTACCTTTCCATGCAGAGCAGTCGCGAATCAACCAGACGCCCAAGAAAGATGAAGAAAAGGCCGATATTGCCCCCCTCGCTCTGCTTGTTCATCCCCAGCAGCCACTTTCCTATCTCGAACGGCTGCTCCAGGCCGAAATCCCACCCATTGACGACGGCCGCCGAGAACGGATCCCGAAAATATACTTCCGAGCAGAGGCCGATCACCAAGAGTCTAAGCCGGACAGGCGCTCATCGCAGAAGCAGGAGGGTAATGTTGCCTCGTACTCCGGTCTCGGCCACGAGGGCCCCAAGAGGGACCACGACGACAAGAACTGGGTGCGATGGAGCGGCAGCACCGAGGTTGGCGACTTCATCAGGGACGCCGCTCGTGGCCGGGAGTTCTCGATCGGGATCGAAGGGTACGATCAAGAGCTACGCGTAGCGGTGCCGAGTTTCAACGACAGAACATACTACATGCGCATCCGATTACGCAGAATGTCTCGCCGCGTGGAAGAACTTGCCAAGATTAAACAAGAATGCGACTACCTCGCGCACCGCGGAGCCCATCGCCTCGCACAGGGCGGTTTTGCCCTGCTTTCGGGCTGGTGGGGAGTGGTGTACTATGTTACGTTTCATACTGACTTCGGCTGGGACCTCGTCGAGCCGGTAACGTACCTCGCCGGACTGACGACCATCATGGGCGGTTACCTCTGGTTTCTGTATATCAGCAAGGATCTCAGCTACAAGGCAGCGCTGAACATTACCGTCTCAAAGCGGCAGTCGGCACTTTACCACGAGCGAGGATTCGACCAGGCGGCATGGGACGCTCTCGTGCACGAGGCCAACTCGCTGCGTCGCGAGATCAGATTTGTAGCGACCGAGTACGACGTCGACTGGGACGAGACCAAAGACCTCGGAGGCGAGGAGGTCCAGGAAGTACTCGACAAGGAGAAGAAGGGTTCGAGACGTAGGGGCGAAGATGACGACGCTGAGGAAGAAGAACGCGTAGAGCACCAGCGCAAGGACGACAAGAAGACGCCGCAGAAATCGGAGGAGGGCATCGACAGCAATAAGGAATGATAGCGCTTTACCGCATTCATTTCCTAATGCGATAATATTCATTTTATAGTACCTGCATTCCGGGTATCGCAAAAACGAGCATACCCTGGAGCATACACATAGCGAAAGAGCGATCGATTTCAACTTTGTTAACTTCGCGATTGACCAGAATCTGGCGAACGATGTCTGATACCAGATACAAAGTCCACCTGTCATTAACAGACCGTCTAGGCATCTGGACGGACTCTTCACGGAGTGCCCGCCTGGCATGCGTCGGTGAGATACGCCAGCATACTACGGATCCCTAGGCTGAGCTGGGAGGACCCCCGCTCCCAACCCAGGTGGGGAGCTTTGGCCTCGTGCGTGCGCCAAACACCACACCACCCCCGCCGCCAGCGCCAAACGGGAGAGCTTCACCCCACCTGATTGACGCATTATCATGCCACCACCCAACCAACAAGTCCCCGTTTGTCAGAATCTCGCTACCTCGCATATGGCTCGCCACTGAATGGCTGCTTGGTTCTTCCAGAAGTGGCACTAGAAGCTGTCCCAAGATCTGACGAGACCTCTGCATCAACCCCGCGGTGCATCACGACGCCGTCCGGGTACATAAGGCTGGCTGCTCGATATTCCCTTGAAAGGAGCTGATCTACCCCGCCATCCTCAACATCCAGGCCTATCCCCGAGCAATCACGAGCCAGACCCCCCCAGTGGACGTTAACAACCCACCTTGGCTTGACTCTTTGCCCTCCCTCCTTGCTGTGTCCTAGGTACCCTCCATCTTCTCTCTCTCCCCCCTCCCCTACCTACTCTCCACAAGCAGATCGAGCTTGAGCTAGAGGCCGCTGCGGCAGATCCACAGCGATGACTCCGCAAATCATACATCTGCCGGACGGGCAGAAGTTCACCGTCATACCCGTCTTCGCAGGTCTCTTTTTTAAGCCGCACGACCTGAATACGCACAACAACCCCTTTCCCATCGGCTGGACCGTTGTATTGAACACTGAGGATGAAGAGCTCGCGTTTAACGATGTTGATAGCCATCGCAGCGAGGAGGACCGTACACATGCCCGCCACCGTCACACACACGGCTTCAGGCAACCCACGCTGCAGAATGACAACCTCTTTATCTCATCTATATCACAGCCCTCTAGCACCGACTTTAAGCCCGCCGCTAGTCCAACCCGTCAGATTGCCATGATGCTTTGGGTCACGCTTTACTGGTACTTCCATCAACCCCAGCCGTCGCCCTACCTTACGACTGACGCATCCCGACTCACTCCCGAGGAAGCGCGACCCAAGGGCGAATGGCGCATCAACATCAAGCGCGATGGTGTCCTCCGCAGCAAGAACTTGATGCCGAAGCTGGAGCGCATGGGTCTGCTCTCATCGCTGGACTCTGCAGTGGGGACAAACCTCGAGGACGACGGCGAGGAATGGTCGCAGATGTTTGTCTCGCGTCGCACGTTCTGGCAGATCCCGGGGCGACTGTTCCTGTTCACCCTGCAGCGCAGAGGCGCCACATCGTCCTATATCGAGTCTCCGGCCAGCAGCCGCCCGACTTCGCCAGCTCACACCGAATCAATCCACTCACGGCATCACACACCCATCCACTCCCCCCACCAGTCCATGGGGACTCACTTTGAGACAGACGTACCAGGTCCACCTCCGAACTTCCCCATCGGGCCGTTCTACTCGAGCTCCCATCTCCCGACATACTACCCGCCGCCGGCTTTGATGTATACCATCACTAAAGGCATTCGGCACCCCGTCCGTCGAAAGCCAGGCCGCATGGGCGAAGTCTTTTACTCCCGCTTCGTGCCGAGCGTGGGACAGTACCTGTCGTTCCGGGTCGCATCCTTTGCGCCGGAACCCGTTCCCTACCTCGGTCCCGTGGGACCGAAGCCCGCCGAGAACAGCCACCTCACGGCGCTCTCCGATTCGGCTCTGCTACAGTCCTGGATGTCGAACCCGCGCGTCCAGAAGTTCTGGGGAGATTACGCGCCCGACTTCCTGAGCAACGTCCTAAGCTCGAAGCACTCTTTCCCCGTCATTGGTATGTGGGATGGGGTGCCGTTTGGGTACTTTGAGATTTACTGGGTTAAGGAGGATATTCTCGGCCAGAAGCTGGGTAGCGACGCCGGAGACTACGACCGGGGTGTCCATGTCTTTGTCGGAGAGGAGTGGGCCCGGGGTCGGGTGCCGGCGTGGCTCTCCAGCTTGGTGCACTGGTGCCTGACGGACGACTACCGTACGATGCATGTCTGTCTGGAGCCGCGGATAGACAACGTGAGGTGAGCAGTTCCTCCAATGAATCAACTCATCGGCCCAATGACAAGCTAACTAAGAAGTTGTAGGTTTCACAAGCATTTGCAAAAGGCTGGGTTTGCCAAGGAGCGAGAAATTGCCTTCTCCCACAAGCAGTCTTACTTGATGAAGTTGAACAGAGACGCATGGGAGGGACCAGCCTTGTGACCGGGGCGAAGCTTAATAATGATGTAGAATCTGGATCGACGGCGGTGCAAAAGCAAGGAATCAGGAGCTGGCGTTTACACCAACCATCTAGGCTAGAAGCATTGCAGTGCAAAGCATATGCAGATGCTCGTGGTGTTACTGGGTAATACATCCGTGAGGATACACACGACAGGAGAATACCCAATAACTGCCTTGTCCGGAGGTTCTAATGCAAATCGAAAAGGAAACTGGCATTGTCTCCTTGAGAAGTCTCTGACTGCGGTTTCTGCCACGTAAAATCCAATAGTGGCTGATTGACACTGACTAGGGAGCTGCTTTCACGAGTCGAACGGTCTAGCGGCTTTACGCGGCGACGTCACAGTGCAGTCCCCTGTCGCGTGGGCCAGATCCGGCCCACCCTAGCAGAAGCTTCTGTGGGTCGTGCGCCGGTTTATCTCACACAATGCTGTGGCCAGGGCCAGGCCCACCTGTTTATCGCTTCCGCTGAGACACGGTTTATCTCGTGACCGACGTCCGACATGCCGAAACCATGGGGAATTGGGGGGTTAGACACGCCCCAAACTTACACCTCTAAACAAATCTACCGCCCTCCCACTCGCCTCGTGAACAAGACTAGACGCCCATCCGCCCAGCTTCTCCCTTTTGCTCGATGGCCTTCTTCCTCCTGGAATCGAGAAACGCGCTGTAGTGGATCATGACCGGCCGTTCGCCTTCGTCTTCCGGTTTCCTCCCCATGCCCGGCTCGCCCTCGTCGTCGTGGGCGCTGTATCGCGCTCGCCTGTCCGCGCTCCTTCGACATGCTGATACGCAAGTCGTCGTGGCCTTTTGGCTGCTTGGTACGCCCCTGTGCAATTGTTTTCCCGAAGAGGAGGCGGGGGTGAAGATGGGAGAGGAAGTGGGTTGCTAAGCGGTGTACTAACATAAACCCGAACAGGTCTCATCAACAACGTCCTCTATGTGATCATCTTGTCCGCTGCCCAGGACCTCGTCGGCTCCTCGGTTCCGAAGGGCGTGGTCCTCCTCGCTGATATCCTCCCTTCCTTCTTCACGAAGCTTATCGCACCCTACTTCATCCACCGCGTGCCCTACCCGATCCGCGTCATGGTTCTCATCGGCCTGTCGTGCTCTGGAATGCTGCTCATTGCCCTCACGCCGCCCAGCAAGTCGGTCGCCTTCAAGATGATCGGCGTCGTCATCGCCAGCCTCAGCTCTGGCGGCGGCGAACTCAGCTTCCTCGGGCTGACGCATTACTATGGCCCTGTGAGCCTCGCAGGCTGGGGCAGCGGCACGGGCGCGGCGGGGCTGGTCGGCGCGGGTATGTATGTTGTGATGACGGACTGGTGGGGGATCAGCGTGCGCAACAGCCTGCTTCTGTCGGCGTGCCTGCCGTCCGTCATGTTTGTCAGCTTCTTCATCATACTGCCGATGGGCCCCCTGCGCGCGGGCCGTAAGGAGTACGAGGCGCTGCCAGAGCGGGACCTGGACGACGAGGACGCGGCGGAGCTGCCGCGCAACGCCGCCGCCTCGGCGCTGCTCGCACCGGGTCCGTCGGTGGCGTCGACGGCATACTCGGCGCAGCAGCGCCACCAGCAGCAGCACCACAACCGCGCGGACGAGCACAGCTTCGAGGCCAACCTCAAGAGAGCCAGGGCGCTCTTCTTCCCCTACATGCTGCCGCTGCTGCTGGTGTACGTGGCCGAGTACACGATCAACCAGGGGGTGGCGCCAACGCTGTTGTTTCCTTTGGGGTCGTCCCCTTTCAAGGAGTTCCGCGAGTTCTACCCGATGTACGGGTTCCTATACCAGCTGGGCGTCTTCATCTCGCGGTCGTCAACGCCCTTCTTCCGTATCCACCGGCTGTACCTGCCGTCGCTGCTGCAGGTGGGCAACCTGGGCCTACTGACGGTGCAAGCCATGTTGGACTTCATCCCGTCGGTGTACATCGTGTTCGCCATCATGTTTTGGGAGGGCCTGCTGGGGGGTGCGGTCTACGTCAACACATTTGCGGAGATCATGGAGCGGGTGCCAAGCAAGGACAGGGAATTCAGCCTCAGCGCGACGAGCGTCAGCGACAGCGGGGGCGTCTGCATCGCCGGGTTCTTGGGCATCATCATGGAGGTGCAGCTGTGCAATTGGCAGGTGGCGCGGGGGCGGGACTGGTGCCGCAAGATAAAGGTTGGGTGAGAGCAGAATAATACAAAATACTCAGACGTCACGTTTTTGTTTCAGGCTCTCGATACGTGTGAAGGTGTGGTCGATGGAGAGTTTATGCTTACCTTGCTTGTGGAAGACGTCGTCAGGGAACGGGCCGATATCTGACGACGCTCGGCGGAGCATCGCACGACGTCTGGCTTGCTGCTTCGCACACGACAGCGACAATGCATCGATGCCGGGTTCAGAAACAGGGCGGTGCTTTGCTGCTTTGATCGGACCATGGAAGAGCGAGCCGAGCCGAGCCCGAGCAGGCGTGTGTATATGGAGGTATCCCGAGAGGCAATGCCAAGATGGTGAAGAAGCAGAATGAGACTAGTTCGACGTCACACGTAGCCACTCGAGGGCCAGAACATCTAGTTCGTAATGACCAGAAAGTCAAGACAGACGGTATTTGCAGGGCCCCACAGTATTGACAACATGTGCGGATCCGGGTCTCTTCTGGCATGATTGTCCGTGTGTCACTTCACTATAGGTACGGCAGCTCGGCTCAGAAACAGCTGACACAACACGCGATTTCGATTCACCTTCCGTCTTGTTTTCATAACACGCAATCCGACCAGAGCCGTCAATCGTCCATTCATCGAACCCAATCAACGGATATGAGCGTGCTATATGCCAACGAAGAAGAAAGAAGAGGTTCTTGGCAAAAAAAATAACAAGATGTGAAACAATTTTCCCGCCCAAACCAAACGCCTTTGCATGTGCCTGTTATCAAGGGGTGGGTAGGAGTGGGCGTTCAGGCCAGTAGTGGCGTCCAACGTTTCCAACGGCGCCGCTGCACTGACCACCGAGCGGCCTCGAGCCGTTCCCAAGCTGCAGGATTGACTTTCCAAGACGGAGGCATTCCGGTGTCTCTTTTTTTTTTTTTTTTTCCTTTTCTTCCCTCCCTTTCTTTTCAGGGTTTTTCATCTTCCAGCGGTCAGCGCCGTGACAGACTGTCAACGATATGGTACCCGATATGGTACCCGATCCGAGAAATTTTCATTGCCTCACCTCACGTTGCTTGGCCCCTCTTCGATTGCGGAGGTTTTGGTTGGTTTGCTTGCATGATCTGTCTGGTCCGTCACCGCATAACGTAGGTAGGTAGGAGGAGCATGCTACACGCAGACGACGTTGTTGCTTGACTCAAACGACCGGGTTCCTCCAGAGGGCAGGTAAACTGATTTGCTTGCTGTCTGTCCCGTTTCATGCTCGCCCAGTCTGCGACTAAGATCTCTTCCATCTGTTGGCCCCAAGATCTGTTTCCTGAATTTGGCCCATGTTGGCTCTCACTTTGAAGATATCGGGCCACACCTAATACATGCACCTCACTTCACCTGCATGTCTGCCTACTTACTTCATCTGTACCTCACTGCCTCTATCTTTATCCGCATTTCACTCCATTCAGAGATTCACCTCGACCTCAGAGTTGCTGCCGCTTGCCCCTGCACCTTCCTGCCCCTGTCCACTTCTCGCCCGATCCTGCACTCTCGCCTCAACCTGTTACCTTATTCAGCTCTGATAAAAGGGGAAGGGAGTGATACCACTATCTGTCGTCCCTCCTACCCCTTCCATCTTTAACATATCAAAGCATCCTCATTTATTCTACGGATTGCCGCTGGTCGATCATTCTCTTCGTCTCAAAACATATCGCCAGCCTTTTCTCGATTGCTTCCGCCATCTTACAATGAGAACGACCTACTCTCCAAACTTAATTATACCAACACACCCACCCTTCCAGCACAATTATTACTACCCCAGTTCGCACCTCACCTCCATGGCTTCTCCGTCAAAATCGGACCACGATCGTCTCCACGAGGAACTGACTTCCCTGGATCTCGCCGACCCTACGCCCTCGCCCACCTTCCACCTCTTCAGCTCGCTGCCCCCCGAGCTCCGCATTAAGATATGGCGTCTCGCCGCCCCCAAACCAGCAGTCGTTGAGCGCGCCATGAACAACTACACCATGGCCTACGGCCTGCGCCGCCGCGTTCCCGCCCTCTTGCAAGTCTGTCGCGAATCCCGCGCTGAGCTGCTGTACCAGGCCGACGATCGCCGCGGTTCCCGGGACGGTCAGTTTCAGCTTCTGCACCTTTCCCGCGAGCACAAGGAAGAGGGAAAGGGCGTCTACATAAACTGCAGCGACGACACGCTGTTAATCTGCCGAGGTGGGTGGTTCCCTTTACGGATTCTTCGACCACCCTTCTGCTTCACCATAACTAACGAAAAGTCCCCAGCACCTCAGTATGCAGTCATGCCGGACGCCGCCAACTTCGCCAACATCCGGCACCTCGCGATGGAATGGGGCCTGCGCCCCTGCTGGGTTCAGAACCACTGCCATGAGGGCGTGCGCTTCGTGCGCCAGTTCCCACAGCTCCGCACCCTGACCCTGCTCGTCAGCTTCAAGACTTACAATCAGCTGCCGTTGGGCGACCCGGGCAGCAAGCACCGCGAGCAGACGCAGAAGCGCCGCGCCCTGCGCGAGATCAAGGGCTGGGTTCTCGAGGCTTTGGCCCAGGACCGCGAGCGACGGGCCACTGATGGGAACGCCGGCGCCTGGCCGTCGCCCGAGGTGCGTGTCGTGCCCAAGACGAAGTTCTGGACGGCGTCTGCGACGGTCTAGGACGCCATCACATGGACGCCGGTGCGCAGACGGATCGTCATAGCCATCATAATCAGGGGGCAGGTGAAGGCAGGGCAGCCGAAGAGGGATATGTATTATTCCGGTTTCCTCTACGAGATTGATCCGTACGGCCAGCGGGAGGAGAGTGGATTTGTCGGCTTCGGTCTATGAGACCATTGACCGGTACATGAGACGACGGGGCGAAGATGCCCGAGATGATGACAACTTGCAGAACGCCAAGAGCACGAAAAGCGATCATGATGCGGAAATCGGGCGATATTTGGCAATCACGGGAGATTTACTCTCCTGATGTCTCTTGATTTTTTTCTCTCTCGTCTTTTTCTTTATTTCGTTCCACGCATCATGATATAGCGATTGGCGTTGCGGGATCTCGGCACTTGCATTTGCATTTTAGATATGGCACACAGTTGGAGGGGCGTGCTTTGATACCAAGGGAAAGTCGGAACGGAACAGCGCCATTCAGTTTCTAGCATAGCGGATACAGACATCACTACTCTATTTTTGCACCATACACTGGGATTGCCCGACTTTTGGTTTAGAGTGAGGCTGATTACTGGTGCTGATAAAACAGACGAGAGCCTCAGGCGGGATGGATGCATGTGGTCCCTGAACTCATGGGGGGGTGGAGAGTGAAAAGGCAATGCGCACGCGGTAGGAGATGAACGAACATCATGCGCCGAGTTCGGTCGGATTGGCGATGACTTGGGAATACGACCGCGGTTCGGATGAGCTCGGTCAGTCTTTGCTCTCCATAAATGACCGGTTCGTTGTAGTCACTGCGGTTTCTACAAATGAAGAATCCCTTAAATCGTCATATGCGGATACCTTGGTCTTGTGTCGACATTGCGGCTTCTGTAATGGGGCTTGTGGTCCCCTGTCTTGCACCAGTGAATGAGACTTACGCCGCCAGCCGCCGTGCTCAGGAAGCTCGGACTTGAAGTTTATTGACTGACTGGTATGGGAACATTGGGTAAACTTCAAAGCACGTGAACAATAAGTGTAAGAGTAATCTTGGTGATCTCCAGGCACACATTTGTAAAGTGAGGGAGGTGGGGGCAGCCTCGGCTTGGACTATCCCTTACAACAAAGGCTTCTGGAACATGGTGTAGAACGTTTTGCGATCTCCCTTGAAGAGCACCGTAAGCTGATTGGAGCAACGCTAAACATAATGTCATTTTTGGGAATCATGTCGGATGGGGGGCAGAAAGGGAGTACGAGCGCGGTTGGTGATGCACCTATGACGCAGCCCCCCCGGGACCCGGATCGTCTTGTTTTCGTCACCATCAAATCCGGCCTCCGACCTCACCTCAACCTTTACCTGGACCAATGCTGCTGCTTCAGTTATCAAAACCGACAAGAAATCCATCTGAAGAATACACAATTGGAAGAACTGGGCCCCCAGAATACCGAATTGACACCAGCACCGTCACAAGTCTCGAAGATCCGCGCCTGGCAGCTTCAGACAGCGAACGACACACATAATAGGCACACATATATCCCGAACCCAATAAGAGAATGGCATCTCCACGATCCCTCGCCGTACGCCGCCTCGCCCTCGTGCGCCCCCTCCCCAGAGCCGCCGCATCTCCCGCGGCGCGGCAGGTGAGGTGGGTCACGCAGAAGCCCGAAGACGGCGACATCGGCGGCCCGGGCGGCCAGGAGGCCGTGCCGCCCAACAGCGGACTCTCGCAGAGCTGGTGAGTCTTCTTTTGGAAGCACCGATGCATATTCCACTCGGGTTTCTGCCTTGCATGCTACGAGATATTCTTTACGGGAGAACCCTCGACAATGCTTCTCTGCCCAGTGACTTTGCTGACCGGGGTGGGGAAATAGGCCGACGTTGGCAGCGATCGGGGCCGTGGGACTGGGACTGGGGGGCTACCTCGTCCACCTGACGGGCAAGTCCAAGGGGCAGGGCAAGTACACGGAGAAGGGGGATCTCGATAAGCTGGCCGAGAGTGTCACGTCGAGGAAGTGAGCGCCATGTGTTTCTGGGTCCCGTGCAGGGGGCCAGATGAGAATATCTAGGGTCTGGGACGGAGAAAGTTGGCGAAGGGGAGATGCGGGAGTCGAAAGACTCGTGCTATAATCCCGACTGAAACGTCGAGGAATCGCAACGATAGTTCAAGGGCCAGTAAAGAGGAAGAAGGATAGAAAGGTTTTTCTTATTTTAATTCTTTCAACACTTACTCCAAGGGTGAAAGTCCAGGTTCAATCACGGAAGAAGGAAAGAGGAACGCAACTAATGATGCAGGCGGGAATAACGACAACAGCAACACTAGCCCTCAAAATATACCTTGTTGAACGACTGTCTAGACCCTGCCATCTACAAATTGTACTGCCACTCAGACTCTCAGATATTCCGTAGGTCCATGTGGCACTGTGACTGTTTGACAATCATCTACAGTCACTATCGGTATTGGAGATAGTAACATGGGTTAAAGGAGTATTAAACAATAGGGGTGAGGTGGTCTCAATCAATATACTTGAAGAAGGAAGAAAGCTATGATGTGCTCTCTAGTTCAAAAATACAATAAACAGTACTGCATTAAGTGCCGTGGAGGGTAGCAATAGCTAGTGGTGCCTGGGTATTATAATAGTTGTCTGCTTCACAATCACACGCCACGAAACCCTTCCGGGATGCAGTAACATTAGTACAAATGTGATCGCAACAAAACGAGCTTTCCGAGCAGATATTGGCACAGGTTTATAACAGTGCAAACCTATAGAACAGTCTTAAACAGCCACGTGCCAAACCCGAAATTTCATCCGCAGTCTAGAAAATATATGATATAACCTCTAGTAACAAGCTGTAGGGGACAACCTTTTAACGGCGGTAAGTTGAGAGTGCTGGTTGAGTCGCTGTGACTCGAGACGGGCCAAAAGATTCATGTTTCCTCCAAGACAGTTCCAAGTTGATCACGAGGATTGGAGCGTGTGATATCAACAACGCTTGGCCAGAAGGACAAAAGGTCAGGGTCCCAAGACACATACCTGGTCCTGCTTTTCTAAATATGAGCAAACTGGCCTTCCGACATGTACAGTCAAAAAAGCAGTCTAGTTTTGCCGTGCCGAGGTTGTGCAGCACAACGACACTGTGGTGAGCATCGGCCGTCTTGTATTTTTGCCTTAGTACAGCACGGCGAACGACTGTCCCGGCCTCGGCCTACAGCCCCACAACAGTCAAGGCGGCCGACAAGGAAAGCCAGGGGCCAAAATCGGAGTGGATAAGAATCGGCCATCCATGGACCTGACAAAGTTGGTTGCGAGGATTCTTGGAGATCCTGATCAAAAATGACGCAAGACCAGTAGTCTGGGTTCGAGCTTCGAAGCAAAGGTATCCTAAACCTGTAAACGTTCATTGGCATTGTCACCTCTGTCTCTTGATTAGTCGATAGCAACCTCTCCATTTTACACACAGCACTCTACTGTATTTTCTGCGCCCCCCTCCTTTCTCTCCGCCGAATCCCTCTGCGTGGTGTCGAGGTTCAGTTTTCCCAAATTAAGTTTCCATACCAATGGGCCGTTGACTTATTAGGTATAACGGAAAACAAGATTGCCGTCTTTCTCTGTCCTCTTAATGTGTTTGAAGTTATGTTCTACAGTGTGTAAAACCACAAGAGATGCATATGTGGGCGTTGAAACCTCTCCATAGGTAGGTATTTGTTGTGTTTTGGCCTTTATGCATTGATCATCACTTGGAACCACAGCTGAATTTCCAGAGAAGCCGGCCCTCTAGCAGCAGACTGACGATGCATGATATAAAGTTGTACTGCATGCGGGACATCCTCGATGAGTTTAGACTGTCGTGACTTACGACCTTTGTGGCGAAAAAGAAAAAAAAATGTCAATCTTGAACAGTGCTATGATGCTGTGGCAAGCTTAACCAAGTTTGCAGGCACCTAGCTGATTGATGCGAGCAAAAGGCGGGCTCTCCACCCACAGGGGTATATTATGAGTACCGACTGCTATGCGCTATGTATTATGTTACGTATCTTTCTCAGCGGGGTCCGTGATGCTTATTACTTGCTGTCTCAGCCAAGGGCCCAGTTTGTTTCCACATCATGAAAGTCTTTGGGCCCTTGACGGGCCGACTGCAGCATGACAGCACATGGAGCGCTGATCCGCTTACCTACATAATTCCCTCCTTGCTTAGAAAGCTCTTGAAAAGCTTGTCTGCTGTCTATTTCACATATCCCCTTTCATTAACTAGTATTCCGTAAATCCGCGCACCGAGAAAACGCATTCGATGCTAGTCAGCAATCTCAGGCCCACTGCTGCGAGATCATCGTCTGCGCTTGTAGTGTGACCTTAAATCAAAGCATCAGTGAAAGAATATCAGTTAGAACAATAATCATCATCAACGGGCATGAGAAGGCTCCTGCGTAAGAGACTGCATCGTCGCTTAATCCAAGACGACATATGGCGTAGAGCAGGCTTTCGTCCTCCGTCTTGCAAGAATCCTCTGACCGCGGATGATGGTTCCTGAGTCGGTTCAGCCCAATTCAAGATGTATGAGCCGCCCCCCCCCCCCACTTCAACACCTTCCCTGTACGGCCTCGACCTTTTTCGTCCGCGCCAAAAGCCTCTGCAGGTCCCGCCGATCAATGCTGATACATCTCGCATGGCGGATCGGGAGTCCCTGTCGGGAGTACTCTGATAATTGATAAGCATGTTTCCTGCCAACTGCCGTTGGGTCGGGCCGATCACAAAGTTCCAGAAACACTTAAGATCCAATGAAATTCAGAACCGCGCAGCCCCGGTGTAATCGGTCTCTACGGTTACAAAGCACTCCACTTAATCAAATCTTGGGTAAGTTGGACTGTCCAGATTACGCTGATGAAAGAATCAGATCGAAGGCATGGATGGATCTTGTTAGGCGGCATGACAAGGGAATCTGAACTGCAACATGGTGAAATTTTCTATCCAAGGGCCCAATTTTTCCTTTGGAAAACTAGATAAGAGACGATGTTACCTCTTAGGCCACGGAGACAGATCTTCTGGTCAGTCAACGCAAACAAATTAGTCCGCCCAGCCTTTTCTGTTCTATTCACGGAGCATTCCGAACACCAGGCAGCTATGAGAGGCTTCCTTACAATCTCGACCCTCCTATCAGGAGCGGCGTCAGCGGCAGTCCGATTCACCAACTCTACCGACAGCCATGACTATGTCATCGTGGGAGGCGGCACTAGCGGTCTTGCTCTCGCCAACCGCCTGTCCGAGAACCCTGCCGTGTCGGTCTTGGTCATCGAGGCTGGTGGCTCTGTGTTCGACAACGTCAACGTCACCAACCCCAACGGCTACGGACTAGCCTTTGGCACCGACATCGACTTCGCTTTCCAGACAACGAACCAGACGTATGGCGGTGGCCAGGTCCTTACCATGAGAGCTGCTAAGGCATTGGGAGGCACCAGCACTATTAACGGTCAGTTCATAGATGAAACACAAATAGTTAGACAAAGCTAACTGTTAGTAGGACTGGCTTACACTCGTGCCGAATCCTCTCAGGTTGATGCTTGGGAGAAGCTCGGCAACGAGGGCTGGAACTGGAATGCTCTTTTCCCGTACTATCTCAAGAGCGAGCATTTCCAGACCCCAGAGCCTGCCCGCCAGGTCGCCGGCCACCTAGAGTACGAGAGCAAAGACCACGGCGAAAACGGCCCTCTTTTGACCGGTTGGACTTTTGGTCAAACGAACGGAACCATCCCGGCCGTACTAAACTCCACATATAAGAACCTTGGACTGCCCTGGAACGAGGATGTCAACGGAGGAAACATGGTTGGATTTTCAGTCTTCCCTCGGACTGTCGACCAGGAGAACGCTGTTCGTGAGGATGCCGCTCGGGCTTACTACTACCCGTACCAGAACCGTACCAACCTCCAGGTTCTCCTGAATACTAGCGCTCAGAAGCTCACCTGGAAGAACGCTACCGTTCCCACTGCTGACGGCGTTGAGGTCGTATCAGCCGACGGATCCAGCAGAATCGTCAAAGCCCGCAAGGATGTTATCCTTTCCGCCGGCTCTCTCGTCTCGCCCTTGCTCCTGGAACCTCTGGCGTTGGCCACCCCACTATCCTCAAGCAGCACGGCATTGAGACTGTTGTCAACCTCCCCACCGTTGGCGAGAACCTCCAGGACCAGATGAACAATGGTCTTTCATTCGCCATGAAGAACATCACTGTAGATGGCGCCATCACCACCGTTGCCTACCCTTCCGCCGAGCAGATGTTCGACAATGTCGACGAGATCGCCGCTCAGGTCAAAGAGAGCCTCCCGGCCTACGCCGCTACAGTAGCCTCCGTGAACGGCAATGTCACCCAGGCCGCTGATCTTCTCGAGTTCTTCGAAATGCAGTGGTCTCTCATTTTCGAGTCCAAGATTCCCATCGCTGAGGTCCTTGTCAACGCGGCCCAGGGCACCTGGAGCAGCGAGTACTGGGGTCTCCTGCCCTTCTCTCGTGGCAGCATTCACATTAGTGAGACGTCCACTGCCAACGCCATCATTAACCCCAACTACTTCCTGCTGGACTGGGACCTTCTCCACCAGGTGCAGACTGCCAAGTTCATCCGCAAACTTTATGGTACCGCGCCGTTCTCGACTTACGCCGGAACTGAGACACGCCCCGGCGTGGATGTCGTTGCCGAGGATGCCGACATTGAAGGCTGGACGGGCTACATCAAGGGGAACTACCGCTCCAACTTCCACCCTGTCGGCACTGCGGCTATGATGCCCCGCGAGAAGGGTGGAGTTGTCGACGCCAACTTGAAGGTCTACGGCACGACCAATGTGCGTGTTGTTGATGCCTCGGTTCTGCCTTTCCAGGTTTGCGGACATCTTGTCAGCACTTTGTATGCCGTTGCTGAGAGAGCGGCTGATCTGATTTTGGAGAACTAAGAGACATGTTACTTTCATAGTCTGATCATCATTGTACCCCTTTTGTAACATAGTTTCAACGCAACTTTGTGTTTCGTACATAGAAATAAGGTTTTTGGATTAAACCACACCATTTTCCTTAGTGCTTTGCCTCTGCATGTGCTGAACTTAGTGATGACGTCTGCTGGTCGTCGATGCTTTGTTGATCAACAATAATCTTGATTAGTATGGACCATGGTTGATGGTGGCCTTTTACAGACATGCATTTATAGTCACTATGTTAGGTAATGAGGACCGCTTATCAATACTGATTTGATAACACAGTCTGAATTATTTAATGAGCAATCGCAGCTTCGACATAAGTTTATAGGTAATCCATCAGGGGAGAATGTGGGTTTGGTCGTCGTAGAGTGGATGTTTTGCCATAGTTAGCGGGCTTGCCGACATCTAATAGATAAAGGCAACGATTTATCAGATATCCAGTTTTTCGTTATTGAAGCCAAGAAATAGTCTTTATGGTGAATACATAATATCAAGTGTGGGCACGTGCGTATTAATAAGTAACAGACACCAAACAGCCATTATCCAGTGCCTAGCCTCGAACATTGAACTCCTGTTGAACTTCCAGGTTGGAACCTCTCCATTAGATCTCTCATGATTGGTCCTACCAATCCTTCTGGGTGCTGTCAATGTATAAACTGACAACGGTCTGCAAGGTGCAGATGGTAGACCCCAACGGACCGCCATGACAGTAAGTAGGGATATCACGGTACCCAGACGCACCACTCCTAAAGCGGATATTAGTATACGCTCTGATCAGGCGGTGTCCCTTAGCATGGAGAATAGGGAAGACTCACGCAACGCCCCATCGGTGGAAGATTCGAACCCCCCAAGTATCATAGACACCTTTCACTAGGGCGAAGCTGTACTTGCTGTCACCGCAAGCATATTTCTCGCCAAGAACAACATCTCCGGTTTGACCACAGTAAAGATTTTGCTCATCGTGGCCATTCAAATGAAGTCCAACACTGTCAACTGAACCATCGGTTTGGTGACGGGCAGAGAAGTCAAAGATGACAATGTCTTCCGGGTCGATGGGCTTGACTTGAGGAGTCGGGGATGCCAGGGTGGAGACGCTGAGCGCGAGAATGGTAGCGATGCTGAATTGCATTGTAGAAAGTTGGCTGACGCGAAACAGTAGGAATGCTGTTGATGATGCTGAGAGTGCGAATGCTTCAAATCTTTCAAGACGGGTACTGATGTGCTTGGAAAGTTCTCAACAATTTCGCAGGAGAGCTGCTGGATTTTATACTCGTACCAAGACATAGCCTTCTCAGCAGGTCTACAAATATCCATTAGATAAGTCTGGACAGTTGCCTCATGTAAGTGTGTCTGGAAACACCCCTTGCAATACGAGCGGCTAACCAAAAGTCACCAGTACCGTCATAGGCGTGTCCATTCCGGCCATTCCATCGTACAAGCACTGATTAAGCGAGAGATGACACGCGACTGCCCCGCTGTGCGAGCTAGAATTGCGGAGTTCCATGTTGCCTCCCAAATCGCCCTATTGCGGAAACCCCTCGACTATACGAGGTCTAGACATATCCCCCCCCCTCCCTCACAAACGTGGTGTAATATGGAATCTAGGCTAAGGTTCTTTGAGCCATGATTATAAGTTCTACAGCAATGGCTTGCCTACCCATGAAATAACCCGGCAGGACGAAATCGAGTGCTGCCTTTTCAAAAGAACAGCAAAAGAAAAGAAATCGGATATCAAAATGAGAATACAAGTCTATATGGTCCGATTTACGTAGTAACAAGCAATGGTTCACCATACGAGAGGGAAGGGTGCCTACCCACTATCAACTGGGGTGGTTGTAACGTACGTGCTAAGATCGCTTGCACTGAACTGGTGGTTCGCACCAAATCGCAATCAGAACACCCATTGATTCAGTCGATACGGACCTCAACTAGAAGGGATGACGGAAGTGGAAGCGATGCTACGTAGTATTACTGATTCGTATTGGACAGAGTGCAACAAAAAGCTATGCCGTGCTGAGGCGACCACGTGCAGTTCTGATGTCGCTTACTCAGGACCATGTTAAAGAATGCTCGCATAACAGGTGACCGCTTGTTTAACATTGAGGCTTGTTGAACTAATTTAGGATTGACTGTTCGTAAGTTGACCGTAGCAGAGGTGGAACTCCGCCGCCACCTTTACTCTCATGTCTGAGAGCAAGGGATTATCGAGATGCATGACAAATCAGACCTTGATCGTGAAAATACAAATTGGCTTCACTTAAATCACTGTATTTGACTATAAGTGGATCTATCAGCATAGTTGCTACGACATTAATGACAGGAGAATCTTCTCCATTCGAACCAAGAGCCTTCCGTGGTGCCTTACAGCCTTTAGCTAGCAGTAGCATGTTTCGAGCCTCCACGTACACAGCATATATTATCAAAAAAAGAAAAAAAATTTGGGAAGGGGGGGGGGGGGGGCTGTGCTTGAATTGAAGAGACATCTTGAAATCTTTTTCATTATTGTAGGGCAAGTGACTACCTGAACTTTGCAGAGCGATGAGTCTTTGTCTGAATAGACTTGATGACTCTTAACTTGCATGATACTTATACAGTACTATACTTTTGTCTAATGTTAGCCAAAAATTAACATTATGTACTCATAGTGGAGGACGGAGATTTGAGGCCATTGACTGTGAGATTTTTGATTCTCCTGAATGGTTGTGGTAGGATGTTACACATAAAAGTATAAGCAAGTGCGATGACAAAATTGGACTCACAATTGCCACGGCTACAACTACATCTAAGTACCGCCACAACAGCAAGGAAACAAACACAGGAAAGCAGGAAAGAAGTCCAATAATAGAGTCTTTCTTTGCAGTGTAATCATGATAAGTACTTGCCAAGATATGTATTCTTCTAACTGACTTTAATATTATTGTCAGCATTGTTGTTTGGCTGATCTTATTTAAGAAAACTCACTACCTGCAACGTGTTGCTCTCGAAATAATAGATTGGGAGCACTACCGCTGATCCGAGATTTATTTGGACGATATGCTCGGGGGTCGGAAGGGCCTGAAGAACATTGCTTAACTACCACTGACTCGATTTAAAATCACGGGAGATCAAAGGCTTCGGGGAGCACTCAAACTTGATGCGAATTCCAGCAAATGATTTTAAGCAGGTCGTTAATTAATTTCTAAAAACCTGGTTTGCCCCGATTGCAAAGTTGACAAAACGAAATCGAATCCAGTATTATGGCTCCTCTATATGTCAATGAGATGCTCACGATATACTAAAGTGACTACTATTCCTGTGTATGTTAGCTGAACCCTGAATATTGATTGGTTACGACCAGAGAAGGGGTCTTCCTCTAGGGAAACCCGTCAGCGTATTGTAATTCCAGGTTGTTGCATATGAAACGAACTGTTTGGAAGAAGGAAAGCACCGGATATCTGACTATTTCGGGATACTATAAACTAAGAACTAATGTTGGAATCCTTTGCGCGGTCATTTTCGACCAAGATGACGGTGGCAGTTGTGCAACTAACCAGATCGGCTCACAAAATATGGCTCCAGACAGACGTAGTAGAGTCAAATCTTCCACTTCAACTCCTCCAAAATCTCTCTGGCAGACCTCTGGCCCGCAAACACAGCCCCCTCCATATATCCATAGTGCTTCGTTGAAGTCTCTGTACCAGCCCAATGGATCACCTCTACCGGCTTCCTCATCCACTGACCAAACAAACTCCACATCCCAGGCGATGGTGTCGCCGTCGGACACCCGGACGACCAGTTCTCCTCCATCATGTTGTGACAGAAGAAATCTTCGGGGTCAAGGGCCTCCTGGCCGAACGCAGCGGCAAATCCGCCGAGGGCGACATGCCGCCTCTTATCTTTGCTGAAGCTCATGAATTCGCGGGACTTTGTGCTCCCAACGAACCCCATGAGCTTGGCGGGGAATCCAGACGGCTGCGAAGCGTCGAATGTTACGCCGATGAAACCATCAGGGTTCGTGCTCTCTCCGGTCAGATCTCTTTCCCTCCAGAAGGGCTTTTTGTACGTGGCGTAGAATTTTGTAAGGGATCCCATCGGCATGTTTTGAAGCAGCGACTCTTTTTCTATCGGCAACCGTGGCTCGAACTCGATTTTGAGTATGTTCCCAGGCGGAATGGCAGAAATTATTCGCCGTGTTCGATAGGTCGTTTTGTCTGTTCGGATACTTGCAACGCTTTCGGAGTAAGAGATTTTACGGACAGGTTCCTCTAGATGAACTATCTCATCTCCGAGGTAATCCATCGGTTTGCTGGCAATAGCCTGGCCACCTCCTAGAATGAAATGCTTCTGTGCTCCATTCTCCGAACTGAGCGCCGACGTGAAGTTGACTACGCCTTTAAAGAAGAACATGGCGTGAAGCATTGATATGCAAGATGTGTTCTGCCCGATAGTCGTTTCAAACGCCAGGTTTCCCATGTCGATTGTAGCTTGCGTCCATGCCCCCTTCTTCAACCACCCATGCACAGTTATGCGATCAAGCTTTTCCGCATCCGGCGTCAACCATGGCTTCTCCAAGTTGACAGACTCGCAGAGCTTCTCAAATCGGCGAACGAACATACCCATGTGTCGCAAAAACGACGCCGTTAATCGCAAGCAGCAATTAACGCCTTATGTAGTACAACACCATGTCAAGCACTTCCCATGGCTGCATCGGCGGAAGGAGCCCGCTGTATCCCCGCGCTTTGCCGCGATAAGTCAGGACAATCTTGCCATTCGTGGCTGCAGTGTGCAGTGGCACGTTGAATTCTGTTGCCAAGCCGTACATCAAGTCCTGTTGGTCGCCGAGGAAAGAGGCTCCGACATCCCAGTATTCGCCATCAACGTGAGGTATCGTCTTCGCGCGTCCACCGACGCGGTCAAGCGCTTCTAGCACCAAGATGTGTTTTCCAGAATCTTTCAATAGTCTGGCTGCCGCAAGCCCTGAGTAGCCTGCCCCTATTACCACGCAGTCGTACATGGACGTCATATCCGCCGCGGCTTTTTAGGTCTCGAGAAATCGAATGACCGGTTTTTGAAAAGAGTCTCGATTGTAAAACGTATCTCTAAAAGATGACTTTGGGGGATTTATGTGATTTGGATGAGAAGCGCCGCCCGATTACTTTTTGCAGAGGCACTTACTGTCAGCGAAAACTTAGCGCTGGCAGGATATTAGCAGGGCTGCACGCCACATCACGGACAGCGCTGATCACGACGCCTCATAATCTCCCTCGTCTTTCATTGTTTTCCCTTATCTTATTCCAAGCAATGTCCCAGCTACAATCATGGTCAAAGGGCAAGGTTTGATTGAATTAGCAAATAGCCGTGGCGTCGGTAGTCCAGATGCCAAGTGATTTGCAAGCAGACAGCTGGACCAGGTAGTCATGTCGCAGCCCAAAACTAGCAGCTACTAACAACAGCAGATTGTGTGGCAATTACCTTAAGGAGAACTTATTGAACAACGTAGGGCCGAGCAAGCCGTCTTCGGATCTCGTCGAACGAGAATTAAACCCTCCCTACCAAGTCCAGCAGGCCCGGCTCAGGGAACTCCCAAGTGTCTACACAGTCCGCTTCACAAGCATAGCCTCGATTCTTAACCTATCGGGAAAACGTGAGGGCATCGCAAAACTCTGGTTAACAATCCGGCTCCTACAAGTCACTGCTAGATGGAGCGGAGACAGGCATTTTGTAATGACTTCACTAACCTGAAATGCTGTGCATTGCTTCTAAAACGGACGGGGCCGAATACCTAGGTATACTGACTCAGACAAATCGCAAGACATTGAGATAAACTGTCAGATTGACTTTGCAGGCCCAATGTTAAAATCTTCCGAGAAGTCTATATCATCCCGAAAAGGTGAAAGGGCGAGGAGAAGCAAGCGGGGGCCAGCAAAATGAGTCTGTGCTTCTTGCAACTGTCGAACAGCGGCTCCTCAGAGCCTGCTGCGCGCCTGCTTACCCACGATCGCAGCAGAGAGAGTGTGGATTAGACGATCATGGCAGAGCCCGGGCGAAGGCAGCGCTCGGCGGCAAACATGAATTTTGGCATTTTCGAGTTCCTGAACTGGCCAACAACATCATGAGTAGCTTGTATTTGGTGGCGACGCTGGGTTTGCTGAGTTTCGATTGCTCAACGGGACCATGCATAGGGTGCTGCGAAAACGAGTACAGAACTTAGCTGTGAATGTCTAGTAATGAGCAGATGCATCTATCTGAGAGTGGGGTTGAAAGCATGTTGATGCCAATCGATTCATGTATATCCAGCGCACGATACTGACGGAGTTTGGTTAACCGTAATCGCTGCTCCTCTATAAGCGATCTGTCAGTAACTGTAGTATAACAAGGTGTATAAATATTCACTAGTTACCGCCCCTCCCTCCCAAACATTCATCGTCTTATCAGTCCTTTTTGCCATTTTCCTTCTCCACCTATCGTTTCTACTTTAGGAACGTCATGTTCAACTCCCAGCTTGGCTTATACCATGTCTGATGCTTGTTTTAATGTGTCTACGCACCATTGAACATTACTAAGTACATAGTGCTTCCCCGGTCTAACGAGCAGTCCAAAGACTTCTGGAACAAAGTCCAGTCTGCCGCATTTGAAGGACCTGAAGCCCTGCTCTCGGTCTGGCCGATATTTGGGCCCCTTGGCGATGTTGCTGTCCTTGACAGCACAGCCCCCTAGGTGAGGCGTTTAAGAACTAGTAACTATTTAGAACTGAGAATCCTGATGGCTCTAAGACGTTCTACCTAGTAGCCTTCCTGCCTGGTACCTACCCTCTTTTATCCTATATTACAGCGTCTATAGACATCTTTAGTAACTTCCTTAAGGTTAGTGAGAGGATAGTAGAGCTATATAACTTTAACTAGAATAAAAGGAGGCTAGACGTATAGGTGTCACTAAGTTCTACTGCTATGACAATGGATATAAGAGCTAGCTGTATCTATATATTACTAAAGAGCTAAAGCTATCTATTAAAGCCGGGGAGAGGCCCTATATTACTCCTAGTAATGCTGCATATGCTATTCATAAGTAGCTTCTTACCTTAGAGGTGGAGATTCTTATTACAGAGACAACGCTATAGGAAGGAAATAATTAGGGTTAGTAGGCGCTAATACTACCAACAAGTACGGAATTTTGGGTTTCTGGTTTTTGGGAGACTGATGTCATCCGCCAGGGCGGTGTTGGGTCTGGAGAATAAATGTTGTGGGACCCTGAGATGGGTGACGGATGTCCGGACACGGAGGAGGAGTGGGAGAAGCGTCTGCAGATGGCTAGAAAGCGGCGAGAGGATGTACGTGCTAGAGGTGACGGCGGTCATAGTCCCGGGATGATAGAAATAGACTAAGTTGTAAGTGGTAGCAATTGGTTTCACCACAGGCAAGATGGCAAGCTGAGAATATTACACAATCTCTGGTTTCATTTTTGAATATTGACGTCTTGAATTTGCCCAATGTCTGGAGGCCCTTCAGCGAACCAGAGCTTGCCTGGGACAGCACTATTATGCAACATTGGATCGTCTTACGATGGCATCGAATTCGGCAACACGTCTGTTATAATTTCGACGGATTCCCTTTAGTTAACGCGCTGTAAATCCGCTTTGCACCACATAGAAGTGTTCGCAAAGCAGCGCCTCGTATACATAATGTTGATGAGTCTGACGAAGCAACAGGGAATACTCGTCAGCCAGATAGATCGCATGATCAAAATAACAACATGCCGCGCCAGGTTCGCTCCTTAGCGAGCTAAGGAGCCCGCTACTCTCTTAGTCCAGGAGATATTCGTCACCGGGAATAGCATTGCCACCGCCAGGAAAATTGTGAGTGATGGGAGGATAATCAACGAGTAACTTGGGCAGCTTCTCTGGAGGAATCCCCGGAAGATTCGGCCCCCACTGCCTCCGGATCCCAGCCCAGTGCTCTGCGCCCTGGGGCTTGTAATACTGCTCCGCCGTCTTCTCTCCGCACCGCCTCTCCATGATTTCCAAGAAGCAAGGGTGCAGGCAGACGCCGAAGAAGGAGCCGACGGGACAGGACGCGAGGCAGGTATGCATCTCCCTTTGGCTCTCTGCGGAATTGTCCCACTCAGTCGGCCAGGCGCAGGGATTGCCCTTCGGCTTTTTGGGGTCTATCTTAACTTCATCTCCTCCGACAGCAACCTGAGACGCCATGTCGCCCTCGCTTCGGCTTTCGATACCGGTTGTGTTCAATAAGCGGTGCTTCTTGAGGAACAGCCCGAGCTCGAGCGGGACGACTGGCTCGCGGGAAAAGCCCTCAGCTCGGGTTTTATTTATGGCCGCTTTGGCGGCTTGTGAGCTGACCTGGCGGCTCGCCCGGTAAAAGGCCTCGGAGCGACAGCGAAGCCTGCAGTCAAATGTAGCGGGCTGTTTGTAGGCATGGAGCCCGGGGACGATGTGTGGGCACCACCTCAGGCAGTCCTTTTCCATAATCTTGGCCGGGTCGAAGCCCCCTTTGAGACCCACCGTGTCGTAGCTGGTGGTGTCATTGGTAGGGAAGAGGGGGATGGCGACTGCGGGCGCCAGGAGGGCGGCGAGGGCGGCGAAGCCAAGTAATGTTGACTTCATGATGAATGATGGTGGGACTCAAAACTTATGAGTGAGAAGCTTGGTAAGGACAGTTGTGTTCAACGCTTCCAATGTCATTTTTCGCTGTTCATATACGAAGTGTCTCGAGATACCTTGGAGGCTCCGATTATTACCTCTGCGGCTTGTTCGCGTAGTGTAAGGTTGGATTTCATGACCGCGGCCGGTCTGAAAGTTTCTTAGATGGAGCATCACGATACCTGCAGGTGTTCGGGAGGCCATCCTTGACAAAGCTTTTGAAGTGGAGGTTGGCTCCGTGCTGTCGGGTTCCTTGCTTAATAACCCATGATGGTGCAAGCGAGTACCATGATGAGTCTGGCGCTAAAGACACATGTAGATGAGAGTTTGTATATGTGTCGCAAGGTGCACATTGTTGAGACTTGAGAGTGCGTAAGGCTATGGCCTTAGCTGACATACGCGCAACCTTGACAGAACATGAGTCAACGTCTGACAGAAAAACCACTTTGTTCAGAAGATTTGACTTTTGCAACAAGAGTTGGCAGAGAATGTGTGGCTTGCCAGTGGCATAATTCCTGCCAAACCGGTGCCCGCGGATGCTGAGCATGCTTCTGAAGGGCGTTTGGTACGGTCGAATTATTGTACAGTTCAATAGCAAATCATCGTGGTATGGCCATGGGCGAAGTTACATCGAAACTCCCTGTCAAGGCGAGTGTTCTGCCCCGATCCCCAACTCCATGCGTTGTATGCAAACAACCCGGGACCTCTACTCTTCAGCCATCTCGTCATCCTCATCCCCTTCAGCCTCATCATCATCGTCATCATCGTCGTCGTCGTCACTTGACCCCGACCCTTCACTCTCACCTTCGCTGCCAGGGTCGTAGTCCTCTTCATCCTCATCCTCATCCTCCTGAAGAGCCTGCTCCGCTTCTAGTTGAGCCTTCTCTAGCTCCGTCATGCCATTGTCATCAACATCGCCGTTCGCGCCGGCCTCCGCATCAGCTGCCTTCTTCGCCTTCAAGTTCTCCGTCAGCTCCATCTTTGCCTTTCTCTGCTCCGCCATGCTGCGATCTTGTAGTCCGTGACGCTTGACGTATGACTCGTCGATGCCAGCGTAGTCTTCTTGGTCTAGCATGCCAAATTCGATTTCTTCCTTCGCGTCACCCTCTGTGAAGACCTCAACGACGATATTGAACGTGCGCTGCAAAACGTTCGTGTAGCTGAAGGCCACGATACGGTCAATGGGCAGGAAAACGAGGGGCTTCTTGAAGCCGTAGAAGATGCCGTTGGGCAGGAAGAAAAGATATCCATCCTTGGACCCGCGGAAGGCCTTGACGTGGACCGCCTTCTCAATGGGCCTATGCGGCTGGCGGACGAGGCTATGAAATTTGCTAGGGTCCGCTGCAACGATCTCGGCCCTATTCCCAGCGGAGCTGAGATGTGTCGTCAGCGCCCAATCGAAGAGGGCGCGGTAAGTATCGGAGACTGCCGAGGCAGCACTCGCTCTGGGCCCGCCGATTGTGCCCTGCTTGGGGGGGGTGAACGGCACTGTAAACACCAGCGCTTCCTTCTCGGGCGAGGTCTTTGTAGGGAGGCAGGTTCCGCGCGGGAACAGGACATAGTTGTGCTGCACCTGGGTTTTTTCGGGCACAGGGAGGTAGAATGCATATTCTTCAAGAGCGGGTTAGCTTCGACTCAGAGCTGGTTGGGATGCCAGAGACGTACCAATGTCTTCCCAGGCGTAAACAATGCCCTCTACGGGAGCGGTAGTGTTGGGTACGCGGGCATACAGGTGGTTCGCTGTGAAACAGAGGTCGTACTTCTTACGCTGCGGCACCGAGACGGAGATTTCCTTGATCTCGAGAAGGACCTCTTCATCGGCTGCATTGCCGGTGCCGGTGCCGGTGCTTTTGGGCGCAGCGTTCGGAGTCGCGTCGTTTTTGTTCGTCGCTTTGAATCCGTTCGTGGGACCCTCGTCTACCCGTCTACGTTTCGATGCAGGTTCTGGTCCGTTGATCTGCTCGTGGACGAAGTTTGCGATGTTGTTAAAAAGAGCGATGCGGGCGGGAGTGTCTGTATGAAAAAAGGATTAGCTTGGCGGCGCTGACGAGAAAGATTATACGCAATTGAGGTTCATCGGCGTACCGGCTGCTTTCTTAATGCCCTGAAGAATGTCTGGCCGTGACTGGAAGACAGCGTCTAGCTGCTGGCTGTCGAGGCCGGCGGGCATTGTAATGAATTATCGAGGTCTTGGTGGCTTATTGCAGCACTTTGACAGATTTTTTTGCTCGTTATGACGGCGGGCTGCAGATTGTGAAGTTGGGTATAAAAGGGGTCGTCGTCAACAGCTTCGGAAGGGATCGGTTGGAGATGATGATGTTTTCTTTGACGCGACGTCGATTGAAATTTTGGGATGTGACGTGTTGACACTCGGCGCGCTGGACAGTCACTGTTTCACTGCATGATCCCGGCGCACAGCGGCGCGGACTCGGACTTACATAATTTGGCAGTGTTCCCCCGTGGGTCGTACACTAACTACTTACCTACCGAGGTAGGTAGATAGGTAGGTATGCTTTGGAAGTTGGAACAGCAAATCGGACACCTTTCTCGAGTCAAGTTGCCACCGGATCGTTCAACCCAACAAAGGCCAGTTCCAGTCAATCAACACATAGGAAATGAACACCCTTGAGCCAGCTGAAAATGACTCATCTATCGACCTATCGACACATTTGGAAACCTGTTTCCCGCATCTTTGATCCTAAGTCTATTGTTTTGTCTTCTTGTTGCCCCGCTTTCCCGATAGTGCCACACATTCGACCCAAGGTATACAATGTATGTATATACGGATACTTGGAACTCGCTACCGTTAACCGTCACAACCCACAGCTGCCCAGGACGCCCTAAATCGCACGTTTCTTTGTTTCGCGGTGTTTACGATGCCAGCCAGGTAGGGCACATTTACTCCAACGATACCCGCAGAACGGCAATCTGCTCGACGCTGGACTTGCTAGTACCGCCCATGGCCGCCCTCATCTCGACGCTCTTCTCGTAGTTGAAGGTCTCGGCAATGTCTTCTTCGAAGCGCTCATCGACAGCCTTCAGCTGCTCGTGAATAAGCTTGTTCATCGTGATGTCAGTCTTCCGGAGAGCGCGACGCAGCGGCCAGAGATGTTGTGAGTCTCGCGGAAAGGGACACCCTTGCGGCAAGGTATTCGGCAACGTTGGCGGCTAATATGAAGGGGTCGAGAGCTGCTTTCATCTTCTCGGGCTGGGTACCGAGGGTCGCAAGGGCACCCTCGGCGATCTGAATGCTGTCGCTGACAGTCTTGACGTGGTCGAGCATGGGCTCCCAGCTCTCCTGGAGGTCCTTGTTATAGGTGCTAGGGAGACCCTTCTGGGTCATCATGGAACCGACCATCTGGCCAATCTTGCCGCGGAGGAACCTATAACCTTGTTAGAATTAAGAAACGAGACAATTAGAAGCTAGCGTTACTTTAAACTGTCCGGATTTTTCTTCTGCAGCACCAAACTACTGCCCGTACTGTAAGCGTCGGCAAGGCGCACGAAGCCAAACTCGCCGGATGAGTATGTTCGGACCAGCGAGAAATATGCTGTATAAGGACCGAGCCCCACTGCAGCGTGTCAGTGACGAAGTCACGGTCGGCAACACCGGCCATGGAATTCCAGAGCAGACCCTCGAAGCCCAGCCCCTTGGAGATTGCCTCATGGTCAATGTTGGATGGATTTCCAGCCAAGGCACCACATCCAAAGGGGTTGCGGTTGACACGCTGAATGACCTCGAGAAGGCGCTCCAGGTCGTTGGCGAAGGCCATGGCATAGGAGAGCATCCAGTGGCTCCAGCGGACGGGCTGGGCGCGCTGAAGGTGAGTGTAACCAGGCACGATGTAGTCGATCTCCTTTTGGGCACCGGTATCAGTGACCTTCAGGAAGCTGACGAGGTGGCCCTTGAGCTTGACAAGCTCGTTGCGGAGCCACATGCGCGTGTCGCAGGCGACCTGTTCGTTTCGGCTGCGGCCTGTGTGAAGCTTGCCGGCGATGTCCTTGCCAATTATCTCGCCGATCCAACGCTCGTTGGCAGTGTGGATGCCTTTCCAAGGTCAGCCTCTGCTGGTGCATATCGGTTTTGAAGTACAGGCAGTCAGTCATACCTTCGTAACCCTGGACAGTGTTGAACTCGCCAGCCCCCCACTCCTTTTCAACCTCCAGGAGGCCTCTCTCGATCTCCTCAACCTCGTGTTTAGTCAGAATGCCGTTGTTATAGTTCGTGCTGGCAAAAGCGATGCTGCCAAGGATATCCTACTTGTGGAGGAGCTTGTCGAAGTGGATGCTCTCATTGTACTGCTCCATAAGGGCGTTGAGGCCGCCTGGGTCCGTCAGTCAATCGTCCAGTAGAAAGACAAAAGCAGAGTGATGGAAAGAAAAGTACCAGTAAAGCGACCTCCCTAGAGCTTGTTCTCTGCCGGCTTCGGGCTGGGGGCCATTGTGATGTCTCTCAATAGTATATCGGTATATCGGGAGTCATCGAGGTTCCAATGGGTTGAGGAACAGATAGAGTCACAGCAATTGAGACCAAGAAAGGAATGGATAACACAAGGAAAGACTCAATTGATGGGTCGGTGCCAAGTGCAAGAATTATACCGTCTTTAAGAGGAGTGGAATTGAGGGATACCAGGTTTTTGACTCATCTGTACTCGCAAGTCTTTCCAAAAAATCATCGGAGCGCAAGTCGGAGCACTGAACATCAATTCTTGCTTCAGCCTTGTCTTATCTTGCATATGATTCTCTCTTATCGCAAGCTAAGAAGCTTTGACCACGTTGCTCTAGGGGACGTCACAGTGGATAGTGGATGCATCCCCCCAAATCTTCCGCCATTGATTTGACGCGTCGGTTTGTCACCCCGCGATTTCCACCGGTCCGCCACTGGCGCTCCCCTCCCTCCTCCGCCTTAGCTAACGGGACATTCCCTGCCCCACGTCGGTGTCGCCAGGTCGACTTACCTCATCCATCCTCAAACGTCACAAACCAACACCTGCTATCCCGACCTCGAGTCCTAGTCCAACCGAGATCATCTCGCCTTTTGGTGCCTGTGATGGCACATCCGTCCTCCCAAGTCCTCACAGCATATCTCAGCCGAGTCTGAAGGCTTACGCGACATCACCCCTATCGCCAACGTCATGTCCTTCGCCAACATCTACACCCACCGCAAAGTGGCCGAGACTGCGGCCAAGGGTTGTGATGTTTGTTATCGCGCCACCAGTAGTGTTCTTGTTGCGGCGGAAAACAAGGTATGGAACAGCCAGTTGCCTCAACTGAGCGATTGCAGCTAACTCGACCGCCAGGACTTCTTCTACGTATGCCCCAGCCATCTGAAAGATAAGAACTTCTGCTCTCCCATTATCGATAACGATGCTGCGGAAGCAAGGAAGAAGAAGGAACTCGAAGAAGAAATAGAGCGCGTCAAAAAAGAGTACGAAGAAAAGCAGAAGAAGAAAAAGGAAAAAGAAGAAAAGAACAAGACCACGGACAAGGACAAGGCAGAGGAGAAAGGCGAGGATGACAAGAAGAATGACGACGAGAAGAAGGAAGACGGTGCCAAGTCTCCCGAAAAGGTGAGCAACAAGCGCCGCTGTAACCTCTTCGAGGATATCTCTTGGAGGGATAAAAGCATGGCTGACGAGCTTCTAGGACAGCACTGAGACGCCCACACCGTCCACGGAGGAGCCCCGCGTTTTCGCGCTCCATAAGTAGGCAACCACCGGTCATACCAAAGTTTCTCCCAAGCTCAAAATTTCGATAGGAACTTTTACGGTATACGACTTGAGAAGAAACGGCAGATGGAAATCGCGAAGCGAAATCGTGAACGACTGCAGCAGCCGAACCTCTTTCCATCGGTTCCGAAAGGTGCACCAGGTGCACCAGGCAACTGACATGTATCTTCAATGCAGAATGAACCCATGTTCCACACTAGGTCAAGCTCGGCGAGCATGTATACCCTTTGACAAGAGCCTCATCAACAACATGACACAGTTATCCAAACAATTTTGTCAGGTCATATACCACCTACACACCTGGCTTTGTCAGCTGAAATGAGGGCCGTCTTCTAATATATACCGGTTTCAGCTTCAATCAACTCAGGACAGGGATCCGAAAGCCAACTCAGGTTGCGTCCCAATCGAGCTTGCTGCATCGGCTGTGTTCGTTTCTGGTCGGCACCGATTGTCAACAGTTATCGTGCGTACAACACCTCGACGCCGCATTCCACTACACACTGTTCCCATTGGTCGATTTACGCATGTGCAGGACTTGCTGGCCCCGACTACCCCTGTTTAGTCTATACTTCTACGCATGGTAAGACGACCTGCAGTAGCCCTAGTAGGCTGTTGCCGCGCTGCGGTGCTGCAGGAGCACAAGCTAGTGTACTTTTCGAGATGATGCAGCACCACTACAGTCCTTGCCGAAGATCATGGGTGTGTGGCTATTATCTTGGAATCCCTCACTGGTCATGCCAAGGACCGTTCGAGAGATCCAGGGTTTCGATCTGGCACGGGTCACGCCCTCGATATGTCCTCGAGTAGCGTCTCGGGTAGAAACCGCCACCAGTTGCTGTAGTCAGCATGCGCTGAAAGCTTTTCAAAGAGTACATATCCTCGAAAGACCACTCTATTATGCGTATTTTATACGTCACCTCGGACTCTTCGGCTTTCACTGTGTCGCAATAGGGCTTCCCCTGAAGTCAGTGGCCAGCCGTATCTCTTCCAGCCTTTAAATACTCGTCCACATAGCCGTGACCATGTAGAACCTAAGTACTTTTAACTCACTAGACCTATATCAGTAGTCTCTCTGTAGGCCGATACATCATTCATGCTGGCTGTGGGAGTCTGGTTATCCTCTCCAATGACCTCCAGCCGCGTCCTTTCTGCCACTCAGGCCTCCTTGTCAGGCTTAGTGCTTATATGTGTCAGTCATGCTTACACTGCTGGGGCAACATCTGCACATGCGCCTCCTGCACAACTACCCAGCAAATCAAAGCATCCCACAATTTACAGGCTATACTTCATTGGAACGGCCAAGAGCAAATCCGCGGAGGATATATGATCAATCGTGACGTTTGAGGTATGGGAGGGGCTGCAGCCGCATACTCATCTCCTAGAAAACCACATCACACAATTTTCCGCGAACTTTGCAGCGGATCATACCCTGACAAACACCACCTTGTGCGTGGTGCATGGAAACGGTTTTGCCGGGCTCTGGAAACTCCGTGTTCCCCCTATCGCCGAAATCCAGGAAGGAAGCTCAACCTAGAGAGCTCAACCTAGACCAAGCTGGGTATTATTCGAGAACCCGAGCTCGGCGGGGTAAACCTGATCCATAATGACCGGTGCCTTTGACAGGGACTAGGTATCGACGCCGTTCTCCTGGCACACGACCCGCGGCATGCGGCCTTCGTCCAGAGGAGCTTAGGGCTGACGACCGCCTGCTGGATGCGCGTGCTACCCGACGGTAATCGGGTGCCGAGCAATCGAAACACCACAGCGAGCACTGGTGCGAGGTGATCCGTTCTCAGCAGTTCACTACAAACATATATCGCAAGTTCAGGCTAGTATCGGGGCGGATCAGTCAGGGCAATACTTACCACGACGATTACCTCTGTAGCTTCTTACAGGTCGGCGGAGCAAAGTTGAAATAAGGCAGCTACAAATACAGCATGTCTGTCTATTATTCATCAGAATGAATTGTGGCTATTCTACCCCGCTAATCGCTTTCGCTGCAGAGTCGTCCTCTACATCACGCAACGGATGGCAAGTACAAAACAAGGCTTGGGCAGCACAATCGGCCTCCTTGTGATGACATCGTGAGGGCAAATGCCGCAGTAAATTAAGCACGAACAGAAACCGTTCTTGTAGGTCAAGCAGCTGTAATCGACACGGCAAAAAGAAAGTTGTCTGGGTTCTGCGGCCTGCCTCGGGCAGTGGCTGTGCCGGTTGTTGCGGCGCATGCTGACATTGCCAAGGAGGTTCCTCTCTAAAAGAACTTTGCCGCAGAATAGAGACCATTCAAGTCTCGCTTTCGGGTAAGTTGGTGGGCATTCAAAGCTTTGCAGTACTGGAACATGCCAAGACCAGAACCGGAGCACAAGATGCCTGGCCAGGCTATGTTGCCATACCACAATGACCAATTTAATGCTGCGCCTACCTGCTCTGAGGGCTCGGCCAACAAAATATACTACATTGTTTACCCTCGCACTAGGTACACTGGTAGGCTCTCTTCATTCCACTGCTATCATGTCAGAATATGTGTCACTTCCACTTCTCAAAACGGAAAGGAAGTGTAGTGTTGCAAGGGGTTTGCCTAGGCAGAACCTTGATCTCACCTTCCGATCGTCAGCAGTATTGATGACAATTGGACTTTGGAATAACATCCACTCAGTCGGGAGTGTCATTGGACTCATACAAAAACCAACTCCGCGGTCAGGCGCGGACGGATGATGCGATCAAGCCAGTGAGAAAGTGACAGCCTTGCGAGTTGATGGTGGTCCCAGCGTTTACTCCTGTCGATTCGGCGGAGGTTTGCCTGTGACTTGTACTATATCGACTGTAGCCGAGTTCCAAAGGCCGTCCTTGTGGATGCAAAGTCTTCCCTTGCCAGCTAAGTTCAGTCACTCCTTAAACCACTGCCGAAATGATCAAGACTCCGGCCGCAACAGCGCCACATCACGGAAGCTTGCCCCTTGTGGACAACACACCACCAATATACAGAACCGTTCAGTTCCACACACCCCGCACAACGATCTGATCAAGAGGATGGGAGGGGCTTATCCCGTTCAAAGGGGCCTGTCACCAAGCAAATAAAGAACGAGAAGATGGTGGGAAACCGTTCTCCGCTTACATGCCATGCCGAGCCTCTCCCCGTACCCAGCTGACATTGCAGTAGGCTGATAAGCTTCGCGTAGATAGAGCAGCTTCAGCGAGGGGTATGCTCAAGGAGGGGGCGTAGGCTGAGCAAGCTTTAGCGTCTTCGAGCCAGACACCAGTGGTGTATCTGGAGCCGAGCATCCCACGCCTCGGGCGTGAGACTATTGTGTTCATCTTTGAGCATGGCAAGCCTGCCGGAGTGGTTGACAGAGTTTGTTACTGCCACGATCATACTGCAGATCAGCGGAGTAGCACACTAGAAATCTGGATGGGTATATTGCAGCTCCGTAGCTCCTGGTCAGCGTCAAGGATATCGAAATCTTCATTCTGTCTTTTCTTTGTATTCATCGTACATCTAAGGCTAAGGTCACTGGGAAATAGCTTTAGATGTTGTCACTCTCGGATCAGGTCTTGCAACTCCCTGAAGGTAGAGCTTGGTGCTCGCGAATGAACGCGTCATCTCAGCCTGTCTAAGCCAGTGGTCGACCCATGGAGATGATATTTCACTCCACCGTTTTCTGACGGCGCCGTCTTGCCCGCAGTCATCTCGACCCCCTCGGGAGTTTGGTGGGCCTATCTCTAACGCTTGAAGAGGATGTGAGCTCAGGACCCAATCTTATCAGACAGCTCGAAACGAGCGAAAAGCTGACAGTGACCGTCTTGTGCCTACTTCGGACTCCACAAAAGTCTCAGTTGCTGGCGGAAAGTCTAGGTGAACGATACAGAGTACCTGCTCTTGGATCCCTGCTGCTTACGGGATGTTCCCGGCCATTAACTGGCCCGCATATGGCGGCACATTCGATCGGTTCGATGGTGTCCGGGACGAGACCAGGAAGGCGTCATCGGCTAGCAGGAGGGATGGCGCTTTCACATTGGACAAACATCAATAATGTGCCGGCACAGGCGTGGGTCAGGGCTCGGCCTCCCTTGTCATTACTCGCATGCCTTGCGTACGAATGTTGTGTCTACTTTAATCGGAGCTGTCAGCAGCGGTGCCCAGGATTCGTGCGAGTGGCTTGCGCCTGAATCACTTGTCATATTCTCTATAAGCCAAAGGGGCAAACTTTTGCAAAGGCCTCATATACTAATCATGGAAACAGGGCCAAGGTGTTGAACCGACGTTTCAGCGGGAAGAAGAGATGCATGTGGACTATAGAATCATTGGGCATAATTGGTATGTACATGATGCCCACACGAAAAGCCTGTATTTTGCGGACGATCGGGAGCTTGGGCTATGCAGCTTACCATGTACCTCACAGCGTGAAGACCATGAATGGGAAAGCAGGGAATATTACGTGAGAACTCTGTTGCCCGGGCGCTCGCCAGCCAGCCACAAACCCCTTTTTCGCAAGTTGACGCGTAGAGTAGACTCATGGAGAGGGTTTGATGAAGTCACAAGACTGACTAGCAGTTTCTGTTCTTCTTGGGGTGTCTTCATTGATGCCCTGCAGTGGATGAGTTGTGGCTGCTGACGGTGGAGTTTGGTGCAGAGCGGCTGATGTGACTCTGACGCCCCGGTGACTAGCTCTGTGTTGATTCTCGGTGCAGGTCGACGGCCATCGACAGCATGACGAGGCCTTTTCAGTTATGGTGCAATGTGATAATCATGCAAATTAGTAATTCGAGTCAACTGGATGTCGCTAGCAGCTGGCCTCTGAATATTATTTGATTCGTGGCTGAGGAAGAATGGTATTCACAGCGGCAAAGATCATTATCTAACAGGTCATCTGGAATTGGTTTCTGAGTCAGCCATAATCTATCGGCTATGTAGCATATGGGTTCACTTTCCTTTGTTATTGTATGGGGGTTTGAATGAATATGATATGATGCGTTCCTTTGTGTGCTGACATGATTCTCGATAGGTGCCTCAAATAGCTAATAAATGGATGTTTAGGATACAACGCACAATCCAATTGACAACTCAAAAAATTGGGGCTTGGAAGATGTAAATGGCTCGGTGGCAAACGAGACAGGTTTACTTATCCAAGGTATGCTGTAAACTTGGACTTTTGCTCTGAAAACAAGAACTGAGACACAATACATCTACTTGAAGATAAAGAGGTCACAAGGCTGTGTGAATGAATCCGTCTTAATCAACACAAGGAATCCTGAAAATCTGGCAAGCAGGTTACCCTGAAGGTGTGGACGATCAAAGCTCAGCGTGCATCCTTGAAGCTATTGAAGAGTCAACTCAAAACAATAAGTGTCTACTAGGGTAATCGTAGATATGTGTACGGGAAGAAACCGATTTGGACCTATCTAGAGACCGTCAATGTTGTTTGTGTCCTGCAGTGCCCGCTACTGAAACCAACGTACAGCTTATACTCCCTCGACATCTCTCCCCTGCCCGGTGCTCTGAAGATTCTCTCGTACAGCAGTGGGCCTATCTCCTGACCTCGAGGCGCCGATCCCATAATATTCTAGTTGCGAGGCAGAAATAAATCCGGGGCTATGAAGCTCGGGCCTTGGCGCTTGAATCATCCTGTCCGCACTTAAGCATGGACTGTGGTTCCAACTTGCAGGCTGTCAGGGTTGTGAGTGAAGTTGAGAACCCAATGCCGGCATCTGGCTGGGGGGAGGGGGTGCCATTTGTGGGATTCAGTGTGCCCCGTTTCTCTGCATTCAAACCCAGAACCTCCCATGTCAGAGCAAGCGAGCGAGAGGTTGCGCCGTGGTAAGGATGAATAGGTGCAAGAGCTAAAGCAGATATATATATGCTCATAACATATAGTCGAAGTGTAAGTTGTTTGTGGATACTGACAAGGGTTGCAATGTGCAATACGGAGCCGAAAGCTTAATTAGACCAAATCGAGAACCTCCCAAGAGCCATCCGTTTGGTTTGCCCAATGCGGATTAATCTCCCTCTCCAAGCTTTGAACCTTCAAGATGAACAGAACTAGGTTAAAGCCCAGGTGCTGACGCGGGCTTGAACGCGTTTACGATGCCGCTTTGAGAGGTGAAGGGATCAGCATGTCTGCGGATGGGTGCAGTCTTTCATACTAAAAAACCAACTGCCATGCATTTCTCACTAATGAGGAAGGGAAGTCCGCTATTCAACCGAAAGTAACATGGCGCTCTATGATTCTATGATGTATCCTACACCCTCCCATCCCATTGAGTTTTCCCAGATATTCTCGCTTTTTGAAAAGCTGCATTCAACTCCTGCCGTTGCTCGCCAGTCAACCTTACACTATGAAGGCCCAAGTCCTGATCCCTCAGTGTGGCCCCGTTTTCGGCCAGCATGACCGACAGCTTCATCCTTTCGTCACCCAGCAGCGTTGTGATGAGGCACAGGTCTAACGGCGAGAGGCTGTCTATGTTCCGCGCGTTCGGGTCTGCCCCGTACTTGAGCAGGAGCGACAGCATCCTCGTGTCTTGCACGCCCCCCTCGACCCTGAATCTGGAGTCGATATGGTGATGAAGCGGTGTATTTCCGGCAGCATCCAAGACGTTCGGGTCGACCTTCATCTCTCTCAGCAGGAATTCCGTCACCTCGATGTTGTCGTATGCAGCAGCCTGATGAAGCGCATGGAGCCCGGCAGCTTCATGCGTCAATAGCGAGGAGCCGACCTCCACGAGAAGCCGCACCAACTCCAGCGTCTTGCCGGAATCCCTCAGCCTGCTCGTCCCCAGCAGGAAGTAGAGCGGGTTTGCTCCGTGGGTGCTCAAGGAGTTATACCCTATGGTCGTCTGCAACGCCACGCACGGGAAGCTGGCGTTATACTCATCGCAGTAGTCCTCCACGTACTGGAGCGACCCGTAGTTCCCGGCGTCCAGGCCCGGCTGCACTGACGCCCTCTTGTTCGGAGACGCCCTTCCGTGGCGTAGGAGGATCTCGAGAACGTCGGACTGCCCACACAACGCAGCCCAGTGCAGCGCGCCCATGTCGAGCCTCCGCGGTTCTCTCCACCACACCTGGTACTCGCAGTGCTCGCAGTGCCGGAAGCACTCATTTGTCCACTGCAAAGGCATCGTGTGGTCATCTTCGTTCGCGTTCGCGCCATTCTCCAGCGCCAGCTTCAACGCACGGATGTTGCCCCTCTTCGCCGAGATCAGCAGCGCAGATGAGTGGTTCTGCTGCGCGTCGCGTCGGTAGAGCACGGGCGTGATGAGATCATACAGCGAGCGGCACGTTGCCGCCAGGTTCGCCACGTCCCTCCAGACCTCGAACCGGGGGAGCATGCAGAAGGGGCACATGGCTTCGGTCTCGTAGGGGAGGCATGATGACTCCCAGTACTTTTCGTAACCTAGAGACACCTCCTTGGCGCACAAGTCGAAAAGGGCGTCGACGATGCAGAGGATGATCTCGGATGGCAGACGCTCTACAAGTCCGGGCGAGTTGAACTTTGCCAATGCATGGTAGTAGCGACGGCGTTTCTGGGCGGCGCCGTAGAGCGGTACATGGCTCCATACACAAGGGCAGCCAAACAACGCTGGCACTTTTGTATTGCTCCTAGGGGGAAAATCTGGGTTAGAGGTCAGCTCAAGTTCTATGATCCGACAATTTCCCTTCAGGTCTGCACAGCCCCGTAGACAGGATATGACTTACGTGAGAGGGCCATCATTATAAACGGGAACCGCGAAATCCGAGTCTCCAAAAATCAGAAAAATAAAAAGAATGAATTGTTCTTCTATGGTACTCTATTTCTCATGTCTTAACTCTTGAATACGAGGCGTAATAACGAGTGTGTGGTGGGGAGAGAGAGGAGGTCGCCAAGGGGGGGGGGGGGTAAGGGCAAGAACATGAACGTCATTCATCCGGGGATTTTGCATCATCATCTCCGCAAAGAGTCAGCGAGGAAAATATCTTCGTCTCAGCCGACGGCCCCTATTTCGCTACACCAGGGGTACGCCTGTATGTCATCGCAGTCGTGCCGCGGGACGCGAGAAACCGTGTCATTTGGCCGTCCGTGTTGAAGGGAGATTCCTTGCTCAATAGGTGATGATGAGATCCCGCTTACTCATGAACCTAAATTATCGCATGAACGCTTCGGGTTGCGTGCCGGAACATGTGCACTATTGGATCAAGCATTGCCAAGTTGTTATCCACGATGGAGTTCAACTTTGCCCAGGTCATTATGATCGCATTTCAATATCACAAAACTATCGGCAGGCCGAAATTCAATTTCAGCACACACTGTCTTGGAGCCGCTCTTACATGGACTTCGACGCTCACTTTCTCGTCCGATGACTATGAGTCAGATTTCATCCGCGATATGTCCGTAATAGTCTCAGGTATATCAAGGCGTGAACACACCAGCTAGTCACTCTGCCCCAACGAATGAGAATGTTGTCATGACCCGTTTCAGAGACGCGACAGAGAGGTAGCTGAGGGTTTTGCGGGCTTTTGAGGCACAATTATTCATTGGTTGATCATAATGCCGAACCGGGATGTGTTACAGCCACCAAGATTGCCAGTCATTGTCTAGGCCTATTCACGAATAGCAACACAAGGAAATAGACAAACTGAGGTCGGGTGACTGTCCTTTCTGTAAATCATCGTATCATGACGCAAGTTTTGGCCAGCGGTGACGCGAGTAATCACCAAAAGGGGATGGATTCAATAATGATAGCGATTCAATCCTCTTTGATTCTTTTATTTCCAAGCGCTTCTGCGCTTGTTTCGAAATATCAGGTAAGCATAAAATAGGCTCCCGCCTCGGGGGCCTAAGTGATGCGGAGCTGAACTACTACACTAAGCGATGCATCGAACATGGCGATTCCGTATAGACAATACGAAGGGAAGTTGCTTCCAAAACTTACCTTCGTATGCTGACCAATTGATGTTGCGTGCCGGCCCAGTAACAAACCACATTGAATCAAACATTGGTTTCCCGGCCCTGAGTGTTTATGATAGATAAAGATGTAGCCCCGTATTGTTCTAGACGAAAGCTTCTTTACCGAGTGCGTCGCTATTCATCTACCGACTCTGACTGTCACCTGCGAACTCAGTCAATATAATAGTTAGATACCCAAATACCTCCATTGTATTTCTTCAAAGATCTTGTATTATGTTGAGTATCGAGTATGATACTTTTAGTGTGTTCTGAGGACCGTATATGGATGGCCATTATTACGTACCTGTGCAACCTTAGAAGGGTCGCCCACAGCCTCACGCCGCACGTCTCCTCCAGCCCTACGGTCTCTCAATAACCGGCATATCACTATTGCCGCATTGTATCTAAATCGGCGAAAAGGGGGGTGCGCCAGGAACAATTTTAAAGGCCACCTCAACTATCGCAATCAATAGGAGGCGGGGCTCACATGGTTACTGGCCGCTTCCTTTAGTGGTTCCATTCATACCGGGATACTGATCCTCCAGGCTCAGATGGGCAAAGTAGGTATTGGAACAGAAAACTGGCCCTCAAGTGGGTATAATCCGCCTGTTCGTGATACTGTTATTGGTTTCTGCTAGCTGGTCTTTCCTGGAAGGCAACCCGCTGGCTTGACTTCCTCCTCGGCGCGCTTCAGGTGAACGTGATGGCAGAAGTTTCAAGGGGCAGATGACAATGACGATGGCGATGATGGTGTCTGGCACCAATTGACAGAAACCTGGCCAATGATGCCCCGTATCCCTGTCTATCTATTGCGCATCCCCACAGCAGGACCGAAGGATGGAGGAATATGTCTCGTGCGAGATTTGCAAAGAGATACCGCTGAAGGGGGTACCGCTATCACTGCCATGAAGCATCAAGGCTCACGCTACAGCCTTGGGGAAAGAAATGAGTGGATGTCCTCCGCCAAGACTTGATATAATCCATCGCGGCCCCCAAGTTCGTTGAAGGATTCATAATGAGGCAGTGGAATACAGGACAGCAGGGTGGGTGCCAGTTGATAGTCAGTCCCCTTGCTTCTGCCCCTCCCCCATCGTGGCTGGCCCAGTCGTTTCTCTACGTGCCGGCGGCTGTACGCCGCCCTATCGTTGCGGCCCGGCATCGGTGTGCAAGTAGGTATCAGGCATGCCTGCCCTGCCGTGTCTCTCTAGCCAACATTGGAAACTCCCGCCGTGGGAAGTCGCAGCGAGGGATTCGAACTGCATGTGTTGAGGGGTGGCCTAGGGGACGGAGGAAAGGGCCCAGGGGTTCGCTTGGGCCGTCCCTCCATCCGGATGATTAACATGTACATACACGTGTGACTTGCAAGGGTGAGATGTCTCCGTGATCGTTATATTCGCCGCCATGTGTTCTCGAACCCCACCGCCATCCCCCCTACCCAACGCAATTAGATAGGCACATTACGTCGTGATACATGATGTGATCAAAGCCAGCAAGTTTGCGCCCAGAAGCAGGGATCACGAGCACATGAGAATCGCCTTCATCTTGATCCCCAGCGTCTTCCTTCCGTCGAAGCATCGGATTGCAACATCGAGACGGATGTCGAAGCCCAGGCATGCCCTAACACCTGACCAGACCTGCTCGACCCTGGATAGACGCACACCCCAACCGACGAGATGGCAAAGACATGGGCAACTTTGTTCGACTGGGGATCATATTCCTGTCAAGCCAACTGCTGCCCATGCCTGTTGCCCTTGAGACCGTTCTCAGATTTCTCGAGTGGATCCTAGACCGGAAGTGAGAACTTACCGCCTTCAGCGTCCGCACGTCAGGAAGGTAGACTGTCGAAGCAGATCTGCATACTCGATCCTTGAGTGTATAGAATTCTGTACGTGACCAAGAAAAACACACTTCCTTTCCCGTTGCTTCCGTCGCTGTGCAAACCCCGTGTACGTCATCAGTGAAAAAACCCATCATATCCCGCCACAGACGCCAGCCTCCTCCCTCCATGCACCCCGTCCCGACCACACCCTCCGGCGCCCCGTACCATGGTTCCGGCCCGCACGTCACAGCCTCCCCGCCCCGGGAGGCATCCGGATTCCCAGCGACGCCATCCCAGCCGCGGCCGCGGCGGCCCCCGGCACCCTCACGGCGACCTCGTCGACTCGCCCCTTCTGCAGGCTGAATCCCGGCGTCACCCACCCGCCGCAGCTGCAACGGAAGCCCCTCCAGCTGTACCGCCCGACGGCGGCGCCGCAGTTGCCGTTCGGGCAGTTCAGCCGCCCCTCCAGCGCGCCCTTCTCCAGTTCCTCGCGCATCCAGCTCAGCGGCTCTACAAACACGTGCCCGCACGTCTGACCTCGCGCCTTGCCCAGCTCGTCCTGCTCGTGCGGCAGCACGAAGCGCGACGTCGCCAGCGTCTTCCGGCACTTCTTGCACCGCGCCTCCTTGCCGCCGACGGCCTGCGCCGCCGTATTTTCCTCGCTCGTCTCCTCGTCCTCGAAGCGCAGCCGGCTCGGCGCCTGCCCCGCTGCCAGGCTCTCGTCAATCTCGCGCCGGAAGTCCCAGCGCCGGTAGATCGGGTGCGACTCGACGTCGTCCGGGCAGCCCATCGCCCACCACATCTCGAGCTGCTTGATGAAGCCCGGGTTCGGCTCGGCGATCTCGCGCGTATTGCGGACCCACTTGACGGCGGCGGCGACGGCGGCCGAAGCACGGTCCGTGGCGGCGTCGTCGGGCTCGGAGGAGCTCTGCTGAGCGGCGGCGGCGGAGGCGGGAGCGCGGCCGAAACGCTCGGGGTGTTTCCAGAGCAGGTAGGCGACGACGATGGAGACGGAGCGGGACTTGCCCATAGCGCAGTGGACGTAGACTCCGCCGGGGGCGTCGGGGTCGGGCTTCTCGGCATCGAGGTTCAGCTTAGCGAACAACGGGGCGGGCTTGATGGCGTCCGGATCCTCCGTCGTCGTCGTCGCCGTTACAGCCGCTCCGACCTCGGATTCCGACTCGGATGAGATAGCCTCCTCATCCTTTTCCACGGCCGCCCTCAGACGCTTGGCCTTGCCCTTGAAGCTCTGCGCCTGCTGCGTCTCGTCCTCGGCGCCATCGGCGTCGTGATGGTAGTCCTGCGGATACAGGGCCTGGTCAATAAAGCGCACGGCCTTGGGCAGGTGGACGAGGATGTCGGAGTCCTCAACGTCATCAATGTCGATGACCATATGCTTGAAGGTCTTGCCATAGTTCTCCCACGTGTCCGTCTCGCTTTTGAGACCGGCTGGATCGAAGCGCACGACCGAGAGAATGTGCGTGATGTTGCGCTCCCTAAGAGCCGACGGACGACGGAGGGCCCAGATACTACAGAGGTGGTGTTAGATGCTAAAGTGTTGGCGAAGGTGACAAAAAAAGAAGAAAAGAAACTAACCCGCCGACGAACAACTCGTCTTTCCCGTCCACGCGGTTCATTGCCATGTCGACGCAACTCTCCCGTAGCAGCCGGTGCACTTCCTCAGCTTGCTCTGTCTCCTCCGAATCGCCCTTGTAAACCTCCAGCACGTTGCTTCCCGTCTGTTGTGGTTTGTCCTGCTGCCCTGCCGTCGGCACGAGCTCCGACTCAATGTCTTTCAATCGCTCCGTGACTTCCCCGTCAGCAGCTGGCCACGAACCATGCGAAACAGCGAGGGGCGATGAGTTTGCCGGGAATCCTGAAGATACTTGATGGCTCTCCGGTGCTATTTTCTCTTCTTGTTTCTTTCTCTGTTTCTTCCAGGCAATATTCGGCTGAGTGACTGTGATAACGTGAAATTAAAGAGGTGAAGTGGGGTCCAATCCCTCTCCCTCCCTTTCTCTCTCTCTCTCTCTCTCTCTCTCCCTCTGTGTGTGTGTGTGTCACTCTCTCTTAGCTCCTCGTTTGTCAAAGCACCCCAGATCCGAGGGTGGTGGCTTGGCTTGGTAGCGGAGGGTGATGACGCAGTTGGAGCAGGTCGAGGGAACTTGCATTGATTCGGGTTGTTCCCGAAATGCTGTTTCCTTCGTCGAGAGAGTCACGGGTCCCACTTTTAGAAAAAAAGAACTGGCACGCTGTCTTACACGGTACGTACCCCCCCTCAATTCCATGGACCTCGAGACCTTAAACCTAGTCAAGCAGATAGGTAGATAGGTATGTAATAGGGTGTAAATACCTATTATATATCTATAGAGAGGAACTGGAAGTTATCCTTTTTTCACTCACAAGATAGATAGCATACGAAGAGAGGATAGCCATCTTGTCCTTCTTGGTCACTCCCCCCTTCGCCACACTGCTTGGCGGCACGCATGGCTTATAGGGCTGATATCATGTGACACTAGGCTGCCTCCCCCCTCTATCAAATCACGGGTACGAATGCTTCACACAGGTGTCGCTTGTCCACTTTGGCAAGTACGGATCGAAGTAGAGCATGGGTTCACGTCTGAATTATTCAATGGATGATTCCAATTATCTTGTTGGTTTTGATATGTGATTTGTTTACAATAACGTCTTTTCTTTTGCTCGCTTCCGTCCAACTTATTTGTTCCGTACCCTTCCGTTTACAAAAAATACAACGCCAGCCAGCCAGCCGGCTAGCTTGCCACGAATCCTGCTGTTTCTCCTCCTCTAACGCTATCGTGTTATCGTGTCGCTCGCCCCTTCTCTGGCATGACGATACCTGGTATACCCTCCAAAAGAAATGCGCGCAACTGACAACATGCATGACTGTGTACCAGGAGCCTGAAAGCGTCAAACTTGCAACTGCCGGTACTCCAAGACCGCCCCCCCCCCCCCCCCCCCCCCCCCTCCTCTACCCCGAAAAAATAACATGAGCGCTGTTCAAATAGCCTCCTGTTGGCCCGTAGTCGCTGTTTCATACATCCAAGGAAACTTTGCTTTTGCATTTTGGGTCTGCCCATATCGACGGCGAGGACCCTTCCCAAACCAGATTGATGGGCGGGTATTTCCTTTCCCTTTCTGACCAGAAGAATCGAAATAAAACGAGACAGATATTCGCAGGGGGGTAGTGTGTCTTCCACCAACTATCTCCCATGTTGAATCGTTCCTTCAAGAAGAGACTGCCACGGGCTTCTGTTGACATCGAGCCCGTGTCTCTTGGTGTCCACCGGGGTCTGCCCACGTCGCTGCCTGTATCTGATATACAGGAAACATGAGTCTTATACCAATGAGCCTGATTGAGACCAGACCTTCTGAACTTGGCTTATCGTATCTCGACCAATTTACCTCGGGGTCGGGTCCTCGTCGAGCATGCAGGCATTCTCCAACATATTTGTCCACTTGCCACTAGTCCCCGCGTGGCTGTGTTTGAGGTGCTGCCGAAAGTGGTCCGCACGGAAAAATTTCTTGCTGCTGTTGCACTCCCGGAACTTATGCACCTCCTGAAGGTGGCGAATGCGTTCTTCCCAGTCTTGGTCGGTGGCGTGCCGCGGTGCCGAGGCGCCAGGACCACGACCGTTACGGGGGAACTCCTCGCCGCAGTAGCCACAAGTGTCTGCCTCGCCAGGCCGGTTAGTGCTGTCGTGAAATGCTCGATCATAATGGCTGAGCGCTGAACAGCTCCAGCTGTGTCTGCGGACGTGAAGGCTGTTCTGGTGACGTTCTGCCTCGTTCTTGTTCTTAAACCGGTTGCCGCAGAAGGAACATTCGTATTGCTTCTCTGCTTCGTGGGCCCTATATTGATTACGTTAGTTAATTAGAAGATTGTAGGACATAATTTCAACTTACGCTAACTCTTCTGCGGTTTCAAACTTCTTTGGCTTCTTGGGACAGCAGTCGCACATGAAGAAACCCGAAATCTTAGTGCCGCTAGGCTTGTTTACCTCGTTCAACTTGCGCGGAGAGGCGAGAGGCCGGCTTTCGCTTATCGTCCGTTGGTGCGGCGCGCGAGAGAGAGAACCCCGCGGCGAAGGGTTCAAGGACATTGTTGCGCTGTAAGGAGAGCTACAGCCAGGGTCTGTGCCGCCAGGTGAGATGCCTCCCGGTGACAGGCCGCCAGGAGAAACTCGACCATAGGAGGAGCCCATGCTGGCAATGCTACCAGTCAACAGAGATAGGTTGGAACTGTACGATCCTGCGCGGCCTCCCGATGAGATGGAGGAAATAGACCCCTGGGGGATTACGCTGAGACGAGGTGTTGGCGAACCCCTCTGGTTACCTTCACGGCGGCGTAACAAATCCCCTTGAGTCGTGAATCCGAGGGGGACATTGTCATCCGGATCGGCAGAGGCGCGTCGCTTCGTTCCAGCGCCGTCGTAGTGGGCCCGCAAAGGGTCCTCAATGCGTAACCTCTTCATAGAATTTGTCTCTTCGATTTCCATGTCCTCCACCTCATACCCGTGCGAAGACGCATCGTCGCTGTTGTTCCTCCTCGACCGCATGGGAGGTGACCGGTCAAGGTCCGAGGCTGAGCGGGGTGACCTATAATCATGGCCGATGTAAAAACTTCCTGGGATTGGCGACAAGGCGGAATGAGGAGACTGGGCGTATCTGTCGGGCGAGTCTAGCAAGTTTGATGTCTTTGGGTGAAAGGGTAAAGACGTGGGCACAGAGAGCGGAGGGATACGTTGGTCGCCGGACAGTCTCCTCGAGAAAGGTTCTGTGGCGGATGCGCTCGAGGCACCGAGGAGAGATATAGAAGGTTTGTTATCGAACGTCTTTGACGGGTCCAGTTTCTTCTTCATATCGGTAAAGGCATCGGCGCTCGACTGGAACTGGAACTTGTTGTGGTGCAAGCCAAACCCTGCTGAGATGCTCGGTAGAGAGCATTCGGACCTAGATGTAATTAGTGAGGATACGCGGATTTACACAGGCATGGCACCAATCTAAACGCCACCAAGAGACCTCAACACACAAAGACACTTACCTCGTTGAGGCCGAAGCCGAACCCATGCTTGCATAGCCTTCATCTCTCTCGTGCCTATAACCAGCTCTCTTGTAATTCGGCCTGTCGTCGAAGCTTCCAATACTATCGTGATAGCTGTGTTCCCTCGGGCTGTAGGAAGAGGGGTCGCGGTAGTACTGCCTAGGCTCATGAGGATGCATTTGAGCTTGTTCCAGAGGGAATCGAGGAGGAGGTAAGGGCGGGGGAGCCGCGTTGCTGATCCTGTCGGATCCGGGGATGGAGACAGCGACGGAGGACGAATACATGCTGAAAGGATCTGTTCGGTCGGAGGATCTAGGGTTGGAGGAATCTATAAGGATGCTCGGGAGACCAGCAGGTTCCCGGTATCTCGAGGTTGCCTCCATGCTGGCGGAGAGTATCTGTGCAGAGCTAGCTGATAATTGGAACAATTGCAGCCGAAGCGGAGCGCCACCAAAGGTTTATAGCGATGTGAGCACGGGCGTCATGAGTGATGGGCCGGAGTTGTTCTCTTTCGGATCGCGGTGGAATACGAAGTGCATCCGAGGCCAAGACGGAGTTCCTGCTGTCAGGCCGGTGGTGGCGATGAGAGAGTCGGGTTCGCCGTTGAGCGGTGACGGGCCCAGTGAGCAACGTAGGTTAACTATATCTGTCTCTTTCTTTCTCTTCACTCTGTCTTCCTTGTTTGGTATTTCCTTCGCTCCCTGGACGTAAGAGCTGGAGCGAGAAGAGGGAGTGGAAATGGAAAGACAAGACTGGACGAAAAAGATGAGTGCGGAGCGAATCGCAATGTGCAAAGATGCAGCAATGCGCGACGGGGTAGACTAGCTGTACAGCCGAGTGAGAGTGTCCGGCGGTCTATTCGCGGGGGGTGGAGGGGGGAGCAGCAGAAACAATCCAGGTCCGAACGGGGTCGAGGAATGCGCAATGCAGACAGAGGTCGTCGGAAGAAGACGAGTGGGTGGCCGCAGTTGGGGGTGGTTGCTTGGCTTCTTGTTCAACGGGTCGAAGCTGGGTTCAATCTCGGTCTTGTTGTGTCGTAGAGAAGACGACAGCTGAAATAAGAGGCGAGGTGTGACGTTTGCTGAGCAACCCCAAAAGAACTAGACTTTGAGGGCGAAGGAGGCGACAAGGTATCTTTATGAGGATGGAGAGCAGGTGGAGGAGAGGGCCGATGGGCAACTGGAACCTGAGGAGGAGAACGAGAACAGAAGGGGAGGGGAGTGTACAGTACCTAGAAGGGGGGGGTGAAAAGATGGAGGGGTGGACGGGGCGGGGGGAGGGCGTGTAGAAAGCTGTCGGCAGCGGCAAGCGAAGCAAAAAGGCCAGCCCGGCGGCAGCAGTACTATAGGGAGCGCTAGCGGTGCGGTAGGGTTCCTTAGAAAGGCGGGCCAGGATGCGAAAAGGCACACTCGCTCTTTTTTTTATAACCCACACGCAGCGCCGGCTTGATGCAAGGCAGATGGATAGGTTTCCTCTGGAGCGTCTTTTCCCCCTTAGGCCAGTCAATGTCAAAACCCAAGCTTGGCCGAGGACAGGACTGGCTCGAGGGACAGGGCAGACAGGGCAGGCAAGTCAACAGGGCAGGCAAGCTGACAGGGCAGGGCAGGGCAGAAAAAAAGATGAATGGAGATGAAGTGGAATGGAGTCAGACAGGGAGGGGGGTAGACAGCCCAGTGACAGGGATATACAATGTGGATAACGGGGACGGAGACGGGGAGCAGAAGGGGTGGGGGTGGGGGAAAAGGGGGGTGAATCTCGGACAAGGGACAGAGATAGAAACAGACCTCAATAGAGAGAGAGGGTGTTCGTAGAGGTAGAGGAGCGGGACGCTTTATCGGCGAGCAGCCCTAAAAGGAATAGGATGTGGAAGAACTGACTAGCAGCCCCAGCAGCATACACACCAGGGCGCACAATGACGGTTGGCGGGCGTGTGGCTGTCCCTTATGGCACTCTCTCTTCGTCCTCTTGTCTTTTTGATTAGTGAGATTCAAGCACAGTACCAGCGATGCAGCCCTGTCTGTCTGTTTCCTTGCTATTTTTTCCTTGAGCCAAGGAGGGGTGTGGGTGCTAAGCTGCATGTAGTGTATGTGTGTGTGTGTGTGCGTGTGTGTATGTGTGGTGACCGGTAGGAATGCAGTTGCTTGGGATCGAGGAGGGGAGATGCTGACAGCAGCCAAGGTGATGCGACAGAGAGCACCAAGCTGTGAGAAGCCAGTCGCACACAAGTCTGTTGAGGCGTAGGTTGAGGATGCGCTGTGTAGGAGTGCGCGCGTGAGTGTCTATGTGTGTGTGCGCGCGCGTTAGAGAGAGAGAGAGAGAGAGAGAGGAAGAGTGTGCTTTTCTCGGACCCATGCAAAGTATGGGCCGCCGGTATTGTCGGGAATCTACTACGTAATGTGTACAAGGCGTGCCTGTATGTAAAGGGAGTACCCGAGTGAGGCGGATCCGGGCTCGTAAGGCGCCTTTCCCGGACGATGGTCGGAGTGATGTGGGTAATAAGACGGCGGTGACGGGCGTGGCAGGCGGCGTCCGTGTTGTTGCTTTTGCTGGGCGTGTCGACAGGCGAGGACCGTTCGAGGTGAGACTCGGATGCCTCGACAAAGAAGCCTTGGTGCTGGCTTTAGGAGACACAAGTGGAACACAGCGCCGAAAGATGGACAAGCCAAGTCGAGACTAGGATTGACTGTGTCGTGTCCACAGAGCGCGCGGTCCGTGTGCTGCTGTGAGCGTTGCGCAGCTGTTTGTCTGTCCGTCTGTCTGTCTGTCTGTCTGTCTGTCTGGCCAAGCTGCTTCTAACCGGACCCCGACATGGTTCGACAGACGAGGCGCGGGGAGATGTAGTGCATTTGAATGAATGTCGGCAAGTCGTTGCACGTAGGAAGGCCGATTGAATCCAACCCGTCCGAGTCGAAGTGTTCCGAAAGTTGCTACCTGATCCAGCGCAGCGCAGGCAGAAATGCTGCTGCCTCTTTGGTTCCTTTCCTGTTGACGAATGGACATGCGGGTTGGCGGGGAAGGAGAGAGAGAGAGAAAAGAAAAGATGACGCAATCGCAAGGCAGGCACGATGCGATACGGTCACTCGTACGAGTTGTTTGTCGCCCGGAAGGCGGATCAGAGAAGGAAGGGGTGAGAGGGGCAGAAGGGACGAAAAAGGGAACTTTGGACGGGCCTGCCTTATTCATTCATTAATTCATACATCCATGATCGCGGTAACATCTTAACCACCAGCCTTACGCTCAAGTACCTCTTCACTAGATAGGCAGTTCAGCTCAGCAAAGGTAAGCATAGGTACCCACGTCGTATAAGGAATACGAATGGATATGGATTAAGAGGGATAGGTGCTCTGGCCACCTCCACCAGGAGACAAGGACTTTTGGTCCTCACTCGTCTCGCCCGGGCACGGGCACAGACATGTCACCATTGATTAATTACTCTCCCATCTGAAGAGGTACCTCATTTTTCGTCTCACCACACTCGCTGTGTCTGCTATCGTCACACTTGACCTTGACTCTTGTAGGCGAGTTGAGGGTGACACAGCGGCGTGACGATTCTCCCCCTTGTAGCAAGCGTCGGGAGCTGTGGTAGTGGGCCAAAAGGTGTGCCCTATCAGGCTTAGTGTGTATAACCCGCGGAGACGCAGCTGGCGGGATTAAAAGGCCGGAGCAGGGCTGAGAGGCGGCGACCTTGACGAGTGAGAGACACAAGAACCATGTGTGTGTACGGATATGTACACGTGAAGGGTTCAAGAAATAAATGGTTGACCAGCGCTATCAATACCATTTATTAGCCCGTGAAGGCATGAGGGTAGATTCCCTCCTACAACACCACGTAGTGGGTTTCTTGCGTTCAGATGGCTCCATATGCCATTTATCTGACTGCGTCCGCCATGGAGTGAGTATAAGCACAGTATGTACTGGATAGTACGATGTAAGTCCACGAGAAACGGGTAGAAAAAGAAATATCAATCACATCACACAGCTTCTTGTCTCAGCCAGGCAGTTGTTCGGCATGGTCTTACTCACACATGATCGATCACTCACGAAGAAGAGGAAGAGAAAGAGAGCATGAGGTGTGAGAGAGAGGGCGTAGGCAAGAGCCACGATCGAGAAGGGTGTGGAAGGGCAACAACGACCCACATCTTGTCTGCCGCCCAGCATTTCGAGCAAGGGTCGTGTGCAACGCGGGTATTCAATTAATCATTACCGACACCCCCGTCCCTATCCGACAAGGGGTGGGAAGAGCGTTGAGGTGGGGTGTCATCTAGCCCTGCTGGCCTTGCCTGCCCTGCACCTTCCCCCCTCTCTCTCTCCCCCACCCTCTCCCCTTCTTCCCCCTTCCCACTCCTATTTGACGGGAAAGGCAAGAATGATGGTGGGATTGACGTCGGGCACGTACCGTTTCCCTGCTTATCGTAGGGAGGGCCAACCCGCTTCACCTATAAAAAAAAAAAAAAAAAAAAAAAAAAGGAAGAAGAAATGAAAAAAAAAAAAACACACCTCAACCCTCTCTGGCTGCCGATGACCAATAGAACGGCTCACACACACTGTCCGCACACTGCACACTGCCTGCAGAGACAAGGCGACACATGCGCTCAGACACTCGATGACATTTGGGCCAGATTTAGCAAGACCAACAGGTTTCTGCTCGCAGGTACGGATACTCCGTACACTACCTACCTACACTACAGGTCTTGCGGGTATTATGGCCCTGCAGCGTGCCCGAGGACGACAGAGTACGTACCTAGCCGAAGCCGAACCTTCCACCGCGCCTTCCACAACGTCCAAAGACGTGCGAGAGTCGCAGTTGCCAGTTCGTTGCGGTTGCACCTGCGGTTGCACTTGCAGTTTGCCCGAGTGTGGGCGCCATTCCTCCAGTACTCCACAATGGCTCCCACGGCTATCGACCTACAATGTGCACTACCTCACTTGCCATACCATGTTTCTCTTCCGGTTAGCTTGGCATTCACCTCACCTCCCTCTTCCGCTCTCGCTCTCTCTCCCTCCCTCTTCAGTAAGGCTCATACAAGACGCCAGATTACTTACCTACGGATGCCGGTAAATACATCACAGGCTACACATGTAAGAGACCCGACATCTCGCCCAAGTCCGCAGCTTGCTTATTCCCAGGCAGGGCCACAGTGCACGTACTCAACAGATGGCACGCATACCTGCCGCGCTTAGCCCAATGCAGACACGACACACGATAATACTGACGCACAGTGTAGGGCTTTGTTTCGCCAATTCCCCTGTCGACAATGATAACCATGGCGGCATCACGATATTTGCCAGTCAAGGCCGAGCCAACCTCTGCGGTCGTACAAGACCTCCCCGTTGTTGCCAGCTCGCCTACCACCTGCTACGGAGCCCAAATGATTCATGCATGCCTTTCTTCAGAGCGGATAGCGCTCAGGAGACTGCTCGGCTTGTCTTGGCAACAGACCGCGCCATCAACTGGACTGCCTACTCTGGAATCCGAGACGTGGTCCTCCGGGCATGTCAATATCCATCACAACCCCATTCGCCTCCACGGAACGGAACGAGCTCTTTCAATATTTGTGCTTGCTTTTTGGCGTCGTGCGAAATGCCTCCTACACTAGACCGTCCAGTCCTCACTAGGCTGCGTGCGTAGTGCGCCGGCACCCTGTCCTGGTGTCCAATCACAGAAGCTAACGGTCACGGAGATTTCGCCGCCCTGACATCCGTCCTGTCGACCCGCCCTTGGTGGCTTGCCCACCGCTTGCATACATACCATCCAGTCGTCCAGACTCGCCAGGTCTGCGCACCACCCGAAAAAAGACTATTAGGTGAAAGACATAATACCTAGATGCACTTGAAGCGACTTACAATGCAGTGAGGGAAGGGGCATCAGGGGCATATCGACCACGTCTAGAACCCTCCGATGCGGTACAACCCCCTGAGGGTGAGCACCGTCACCTGTCTATATCCGCCAGTACGGGATATGTGGCGCGCTACCAGCACAGCACCAGCGCGTCACGCCCCTTTGCTCAGCAATCTCGGACTGGTAAGTCCGGTGTGCATTCCTGATGAGGCACCTCACTTCAACCAAGGCCAAGCATCTGTCGCCGACTCAATGATTAAATTCTTCACGTTATAACGTTGCCGTTCGAGGAGATATAGGCATCACGTCATGTTCATGAACTCGACTACCCACGAACCAACCACCTCCCCGCGTCGTGTAAAGTCGACGCTCCGAACATTGTGCTCCATGGGGAATGCCAACACGGGAGGAAGTGGGCGCTAATTACTGTGCAATACCAGCAACAGCCGATACCTCTGTCGGCTGATCTTGAGTAACTGACTACCTTATGCAAGGTTGGCCATCAGCCGTCTTTCGCCCTATGAGGCTGGAACCCGCCCACCGCTCCCCGTGTATTGGCCACCAGTGCCCGAGGATGCGCATGCATTTCAGGGCGGCACGGCTACACAATGATTTGGTCTAGGAAGCGAGGGAATAGTACTGACTTGAGCCTTATTAGGCCACGTGCATCCTCATTTCTTTTTCCCTTCATCGACCGCCCCACGGACAGCCGAGACTCCAGTTTATCCCAGCCCAGAAGTCGCTTCTCCGAGGCAGGCATTGCAATTCCATGCACTCGACAGTCGTGTCTTTGCCGGAATCATCGCTAACCTCATTCCCCTGGGTCGCCCCTGCATTGCAGTCATGCCAGCTCACAAGTTGACGAAAGTCGATGCAGTCGCCAAGCGACATAACCGACGACGCGACCTAGCACACATCCTAATCACTCATCGCCACGAGTCCGGCTCGTTCAGCTCGCAACTCTGCATCCAGAGGTAATAGTCATCGACTTGCGTAAAGCCAGCCACCCATCCACCATTTGACCAACCTTGAGCCAAAAAGTGCACGTACCTGCCTAGCCAGCGACGGAGTCTTCTCCGTCTGGCAATAACCCCCGGATATTTGAGTTTCAGACACTACCCTTAGCACCTCCTAGCGGGAAATCTGTTGCTGCCACGCTCTGTCGTAAGCATGACAAAGCGCTCTAGTGAAAATGGCTTCTGTCCTGGATCCTGCTGTGTTGAGGGGAACCCACAACTACGCCGCACTTGTCAACAGATTACATTGTGCTGCGGTAGAGGCGCGTTATCTCTGCACCTGACTTGAGCTGGCTGCGTCCCTCCCTCGCTGGAGACATGAGATACGAGGGTAGACCGTCAGCCCGACAATGTGGAGACAGACTAAGGCGTGAATCGGACCCGATGGGTTGCCCTGTGTTCCGGTTCCCGTTGCAGCGCTGTTCCCTGCCCATGCACTGACGGCCAGAAGTCTATTGTGCCTACGCACTGCGTTATTGATTCGTTATACATCAATGGGCCCGTGGAGATTGAAGAGACGGCGGCTTTTCTCAACGTCCCACAGCTTCAACAACAAGCGTTCACAAACACTGGAAATGTGCCGGCACGGACGACGGGCACAGCACTAGAGGCGGTAGTCCAGCTCGACGACCCCTTCTCAGCCCTACAGTACACAGTCCGGGCCCTCGCTAAGTAGCTTGGTGCCTCCAACTTGGCGTCAATCTTACGACAGGGGCTCTCCCTTGTCTGCTTGCGCGGGGATAGTCCAAGATCCTGCCCGCACGTGCCTCTCGCATGTGGCCCGCAACCAGACGTTGTGGTGCCGAGGGCAGCACCTTAACAGAGCCCTCCCGCCGTTGCAGCCTATTTGGTTTGCATGACAGGTTGGGCTGGTGGTCGGTCATGGTGTCGTCGGAAATACGCTCGGCCGATGATAGCGATCCTCTGATGGGTTTCCCCAGTTCAGCAACAAGTCATTATGATGCCAGCTTACGGCCAACTGGAAGCCGGTGTTTTACCAGCCACCTCTGAGCGGCCCATCTTCGGTGCAGGGGCTAGATCAAATCCGGTGCGAATTTGCGAACATTAGGCGTAGGGCAGAACGGAAACCCGCCATCACGGTTGGGAGACAGCAGATGGCTCTCCCGCCATCTTTCTAGCTCGCATCGCCGAATTGTCACGGACGCGCTAATGACTGATGATTTGCAAGCATGCCAAATCGGGACCCAGCGAGCCGGCAAATCGACGTGGACGTCCTGACAAGCAGCCACACCACCACGCCTGTACTTCTGTCGTATTGGTCTAGACATTCAGTGTCAACGAGCTGCTCCATCGATTCGGGGCATGGGGGAATGAATATTGGGAGGCTCGAGGGTGTTTCCGCGCTGCCCCTGATTCACTCTTTGTCCAGGCTTTGTCAGTAGTAAATTAGTCACCGCATACCCTAACTGCTTCTAGTGTAGGCACGACGTGGAACCTCTGAGCACGTCAATGTGTCATCAGTTATGGAATAATACAACCTGGCAGGGTATCAGTTCTGAACGTTACAGGTGACTAACATGGGCTGGACGAAAGAGACAACGATCTGCGTGGCCTTGACGACCTCCGCGGAAGAGCAAAGCGTGCATGCTATCTATCTGTACGTACAGCCCGGGGCCGTAACGGACACCCTTGGCGAGGAGCAGCACGCCGGACTAACGGTCGTACCCTTCGTAGTATGGGCCTCAGAGCGTCGCCACCGACTCTCAAACCTCCGCTACCAGACGCCGCCATGCTTCACCACGCCTCACGGGCTGCACGTCACCAATACCCACGACTCGTCTCCATGGACATGTCCATGTCTCCACATTTCCGCCGAGAGCTCCGGTGCTAGGTGATTTACCAAACACGCAGCAGCTTCTTTCTTCGAGGGCCAGCTCCTATGTATACTGTGCACCAGACTGAGGGTCCAATGCCCATGTTAATCAGCATGACCGCACAAGAGATGTGCGAAGAGGAATGTTCCACGAGAAACAACAACGCCACGCAGGCCTTGACTACTACCGCGTTCGTCCTTGTAGGGCGGGCGAGCTGTGTTGCCCCCCTAGACGCCATGCACACTGTACCGTACGGATACAGACTCGGTACACTAGGAATTACCTGTAATCAGATCCTTGAAGGGCTCGGTGGGTTTGCCGGCCCTACCCAGGCCATGCACTGGGGACCCGAAGAAGGCTGTGCAACGGAGCGCGATGGGGCACACTGGAGACGCTCAGGATGGGCAAAATGGTCACGCCTTCCGGAATAGAATGCCCTCCGAGTCCCTATGTCCAATAGGGCGTCCAGATCACGACGGCATGAAACATCATCAACTTTCCCTCCACTGCCATGCACCAGTAGCGCACGATTCAAACGATGCAAGCTCCATTCGTCCCCTATCCTATCATAGCACCTGCTTGAATCATGACCCCAGGACCTCGCAGAGGGGGTCAATACAGGACGCACCCACCCTTCATTTGGGCACCGCGACTTCAGAGGCCGGTCTGCCACCCGCCCCTAGTCGTCACTCTGCAACTGCCGAGGCGACCTGATCGTCGACTTGACCCAACAATGAGCAAGCGAGAAGAAAAGGAGATGAACTACTACTATGGGAGGCGTACATAGACGGCGGATTTCAGTGTGGCTGCCACCAGCTCCTTAGTCTCACATCTTGAGCCAGCCTGACGAATGGTAACGGTCAGGCCGCTTTCCGCATCTCAAGCTACTACCACTATTTTCAGCCAGAGCTTACGCCACAACCTCGCTTCTTGGGTATGTGTCTACTGTGTACGTACGAATACCTAGGCGCGGACGAGTACAAGCCGCGGAGCAATTGCAACGCTCAGTGACGGTGAGTGAAGCATCACTATTGCTTTACTAGCTGTTCGCCTCATCTCCCATACATAACAGCTTTATAGGTCAGCAGTTCTGGAACCATGAGGACGGCCTTTTTCATTTCTCGCTGCCCTAGTCAAGGGCTGGAATGTCCCCGGCGTCAGGTACAGAATTCGATGGTCCGCTGACAATGCGTGACGTGGGAGCCATCGGCTTCCTCCCAACCGACAGTTGCAACATTCCGCTCGTAGGGCGAGAGGTACATTTCAGGAGCCGAAGAACGCAATGCCCCCAAATTTGACCAGGCCCTCCTCCCCGCCGATCTTAGCCTTCCGCCCGACGAGATCTTCCACTCTTGGAGGCGACGCCGAGGCCCTGTCCCAGTACGTGCGTAGCGTATTCTTCCTTCATTCTCGGATCCCCCTGTAGGATGAATACACTACGTTCAAGTAGTACCGTACAGTATGAATGCAAGTGGGTGACGATTTTGTTCCGTCTCGCCAACAAGCGACCCAATGGCTGAAAAGCCCGACTTGGGAAGGCTACCACTGGCCAACGGCAGAGCCGCGCCGGCGATGCTTTTATCAGCATTCCGGAACATGCACAATCACGGCGTCCTGTCACGGATGTTGTAACAAGCCCGCACTTGGCAGGATTCGCCTCCGGGGCTGGTTGTTTGGCCGAGCCGTTCGAACCAAGCAGCAGCAAGACCGCTCAGGAGTCGGAAACCATGCTATTATTACTCCTCCTGGCGCAGCATGCCGGGTGAATGTGGAACTCGGTTGGCTATCAAAACTGGGCTTACCAGGGGTATTACATATTGTGTCCCAAAGGATGCTGTACGTATGATAACATGGGGGCACAAAATTGCGGCGGCATGGCAGGACACCCGAAGCATAGGTAGGAACAGGACAAAGGGGAGAGTTTCTCTGCGATATGTCACTGTCTCCTCCCAAGTGGCAATACTGCAGTGTAGGTACGGTACCAAGTCCAACGGGGAGGGGAGGCGGAGCATCGGGGATAAACGAACCATGGCTCCACGGTCGCCGCCCAAGTCCGGCAAGTAAGCAGGCTGCAGGACGCTACCGCCCCCTGGCACGCCTCGATGTACGCCAACCGAGCTTGAGTCTTGGCTCGCTTTACTTGACGGACGGGCTGGTTCCACGACTGATGGAGGCTGGACAACTACTCCAGGGCATTCGCGGGAGGGAACGTCCAACGGGGAGGGATCGTCCAGGCGAATGGGGGGGGGGGGGGGGGGGGGTAATCAGGCAAGGCGCAGAAGATCCTGATGATCATGTCATGTTTTGACTTGTTTGGTGGCACTTTTGCGCGTTGCAGCAAACGAAACAGAGCCCCCTCTCTGGTCTCTTTTGCTGTAACCGCGTGGGGTGAGTTTCCAGGGCACTGCCTTGGGTGTGTACCATTGCATGTTGTCTTCCAAGGCGTTACCGGTTGCCAATGTACCCGATCAACAAAAGGATTGGACTTCGATGTTCCCGCCCTTTACCCCCCCTTTTTACCGCCCCCAATCCCTATCTACGGATACCGTGGGCGATGTTGGTGTGTTGGGGGGTGAGTAAAAATGGAAACGAAATTGTCGGGGTCCCGACAACGATCTTGAGCCCCAGATGGGATTCCCGGATTGAACTCTGAAGACGAGCTTGTTGCAACGTCGCAGATGACGAGGCCAACTGGGGATTGCGTCGCACGATACGCAACCAACCACGGTGGCGCGCGGCCTTTTTGGAGAAGGTCGACTTCGGTTCGTTGGGCTCACGGAGATGTTGGAGTGCCGGCCATTGGCATCCGCGGGCCCCTCCTCAACTATCCCCTCCCTTTCGTATCGACAACCTATTTGCCAAGACCGTCATATCGAGCGAATTCCCGTCCGAGGATTGCCATCTAAGACACCCTGATGGTGGGAGTGAGTGTATTCAGAGAGATACTTGGTTTAGTCTTTGCTTATCCTGCCTTGGGTCCTTAGCGAGACTCTAGCGCGCGAGCGCGCGTGTGTGTGTTTGGCCGAGCCAAGGACACGTTTGCCCAAGCCCGTCGACTACTCGATGTCAAACATCCAGAGTGATTGGTCTACGGCCGATCCTCGCCGGGAAGGTTATAATACCAACCGAGACAAAGGCCTTTTACCCATCTCGGAGCAATGAGATTGATAATCTTTTGCATGCCGACAGTATCATATGTTCGTGACACCATGATGACGATTTCATGTTCGTCTTCTAGTTACGGAGAACGCCTGGTATTGGCGTAGCGTGGTCAGGCGTGCCAGGGTCGTCGAAACGCACTGCGCCTAGTCATCATATGACTTCTTCTCCAAGCAGCGATGTCATCAGCCCCTAAGACAATAGAACAGAGGGCGCAACCCTTGGAGACCTGAGATCGGTCCCCCAACTGCATCAGCACCGGAAGCCTCGCTTCCTAGCCAGTCAAGTCGGCACACAAGCTCCTATGTAGTGTATGGATAGTTACCGAACCCTTGCATGGTCGGGATGGTACGAAAACGCTCAGGGCCTGGTCCGCTGAAGCATCCGGAGGCAAGCCACCGCACGTCAAACCAAGCCCTACGAGAGCTGCTATGCTCGGCGTCAGCTGAGACAAAGTGACCTGAACTGGGCTGGAATTCCGCCACTAGCTGGGCTTTTCATACAGCCCCATCGTTATTGGGCGGGCCTGATTCCTTGGCCCGGAGGCCCACGATCGAGCTTCCGGCCGGAGGTGTAACCCTCGGTCCACGAGCTAGGACTGGCAAGGCTGGTAGTTCCTGGGGAAGCGCCGAACGGCGCCGCCCCCCCTGAGCCCTCATGAGGACCCCGGCTGCTCAGGTGCGAGAGATTCGGCTTCGTCAGAAGAGGTTCTCACAAACCGACCCTCTCACTCATCCCGGGATGAGGCAGCCACGCGGGTTCCAAAACACACACCGCCGGTCAACACTGCAAGCTTGGGTGAAGTGCCAATGAGAAACCGGCAGCGTGCTTTTCTTGGCAGTCTTTCCTCATTGCGAAGGATCGTCGCTGGTTCGGCATGGGAATCTCGGCCGCCACAGTGAGCAGCGAGCAGCGGGTCAGTCTTGCCGGGCCGCGCCCGTCAGCAGACGCAAAGCCCCCTCGGAGCTGAGACTCGAGATGGGTTGAGTCGACGTGTCAGTCCTCTTTGGGCGACTCAACAATAATAGTAGCTAATGTGCGGCCCGAGTGTAATAGGAGAGGGGGTTAAAAAAAAAATTAAAAAAAAAAGATGGGGAAAAAGACCCAATTCTCAATTCTCCAACTTGTTACGGACTACAGCATGGGAAACTCGGCTCCGTTGAGAGTCTTGTCCTATCAACTATTCAACCACCAAAGACAAGTATCGTTAGCTCAAGTTCAGCGCGGATCTCCCTCCCGCATGTCATTGGACGGCTCGTAAAATCATCACGAAGAAGGGAAGCTAGGGCCCGTCTGGTGTCTTCAGCTGAAAAGCCACCCATCCTAAACTTGGTGAATGGGAGTGTCCAAAGGGAGGGCCGGGGGGGCGCTGACATCCGACGATGCACTGCACTGCATGCCTCGGCTCACCTTGATATGTTGCAATGTGGCAGGAAGACGGACACGCACTCTTTGTTGCGGCCCTACAAGAGCCAGCTGTGTCGGGAGGGGAACTCGAGAGGGACAAATGAGATGGAATCAGCCAACTGACGGGATCCCAGGTCGACGCCCTCTCCCTTTGGAGGCAACGACCTGCCTTATCCAGCCTGTCGCCGCCCTACGACATATGACTTACAATGCCTGACGTTCGTACATGTAGGTATTGCTTCTGTCCCGGGTCCGAGTACCTAATGCAAGTAAGTACCCGCCTCCGCAGGGCTGAACCAACAGCGAAGTAAGTGTGAGCATGACTGCCTATTACCAAGGGTTGTTTATCCTGCCCTTTTGGGCGACTCGCATCGCATGGGGCTGATACGAGACAACCGTCGCGGCAGCGCTGATGCCAGCCGGTGGGAAAGAAAACACAACTCGGGCGAGCGCGG